CATAATTCCGTACACTTTGATATTCAAAAACACAATTAGAATAAGACATATCCAAAGTTTAACGATAGGAAATATTATCATCAGCGAGTATTTATTTGCATCATGTTCCAATGTATTGTTCTGCAAACAATTAACACTCTAAGACTTCATTTACCCCCGTTGCGATAAAAGAGAAAGAAGTGCCGAAGCTGACATTCCCCCTAATTAAAAAATATCCAATCTTTCATTCATGCTGAATTCTCAAAACTATATTCAATACACATGCAGATCGCTCTACCTATAGGATTAGAAAATATCTTGGGTTGTGAGAGGATATGTCGAAGGAATGGCAGGGAAACTCTCTTTACTCCAATGGCATTTCTCATGGCCGTGTGCGTTTGTGTTAAAAAGCAAAACATCTTCCGTCTTTCACTTTTTATGCGTAAAAACCGTCGTCCAGAAAAAGTGAAATCATAATGCATTTCGTCGTAGAAAAAAATCGTTCCATTCACGACGGATGACCCCATTGTTTACGATTTATGAGAGGGAATGCGAATACGAGCTTATCAGTCATGTAGCATATAGTAACATGCCGTCTCTTTTGTTCTTTCAGTCCTCCTGGTAGCAGTTAGTGGGACACTACACTCGATATATATATAGGCTACTCAGTGGCGCCTTGTTGCTAGTTTTCCCAGACTTTTCGATTCGTTGCGTGTGTAATAATATTTTTTGCATTCCTTTGCTTAACGCCTTTGATGTTTTGATCGAATAATTCAATGAAATAATTAAATAAATGTTGTCATGTTTCTTTTACATGTAACATTTGAATGCTCATCAGCGCTGCCATTTATACAGATTTATCTGTATTATACAGATTTTTTAATCTTAATACAGACCCGATACAGAATACAGATTTATCACAGATTTTTAAATTACAATACAGATTTATACAGATATAAAAATCTTGAGAAAAAAAAATCTATATCAAAATAAGTTATCAAGCAGTTCTCACTAATATCAATACATGTTATAATTTTGATATTCTTCGCATATCATTTAGCTCTCATTTTTGTTCTGTTAGCCATCAACTCCATCAAAATGAAATCAATTTGAGTTATCAAGAATAATGAAAACAACATAATTCTTCAGAGTTGGTTGGAAATGCTAACATGAAGCTTTAGTGTGATGATTTATTAGCTAGAGAATGATCTTTAGAAGAATGTAGGTGGATAGTTCCGTTAGAGTACGGCAGTATGAAAATTGAATAGAAGTTGAAAATGAGCGAAGGGCCATTAAAGCGACAGTTTTCAAGATGACGCACATTTTTGCCTAGCCCGTACGATGTACGCGGGGACTTGAAGTATGTCTCCAAGTCCTCTGAAAATCGTTAACTTCGCGTATGAAGTAACATAAAAAACACTTTGAACATAATTCTTGTTTTCATTTTGTTCTCACCCTCTGCTCGGGAACCTATCAAATTTCCATCGACAATTATTCATGTTATGGTGTTTTTGACAGCATTCACAACCAGAGGACCAACCGCTTTCGGATGCATATGGAGCTGGTAGTAAACGATTTGAGATTGTATGGGGATTTACAGTATTAATTGAATATTTCCAATTTCCAATACAAAATGGTACAAATACAAGTACTCGTAAACATTTTACTTGCATTGAAAATGTATTTCGTAAGAAATTGCGGATTTTCTGATATTCTCCATACTGCAAAAATGATTTTACTAGCACTGGCGGGACAACATCTCTCGACTTTTCGGTGTAACTACCACACAAATGATGTAATTAATTGTATTCATCTATATTAAAAATATCAAATAGTTATAAACTCGTGCAGTTTTTTGCATTTAAAACTGCTTATCAGGAAGATAATGAATAGAAACTAAAATCTCCATACATTTTCAAACGGCTTCATATCACTCTTATAAATAAGTACGGACGATATCACAAATGGCGCAATTATATCCCGTATGGTTAGTACGATAGCCCGAATAGGTGGTTAAGCACTTTTTATGGTTATTTTGTATGCACTGTATTTGTAAAACAACAAAACATGATTAATTAAGAAAAAAATCGTCAATACAGAAAATACAGATTTTTTAATAGAGTGGATACAGATTTTTTATAAAACCACCTGGCAGCTCTGATGCTCATCAGTACATAGTGGCTTTAGCATTTTTGAATCCAAGGTTAGTTGTGTACTAGGATTTAATATTTTTCTTTCAATCTGGCATTGCTGGTACTAGTATAATGGACAACCAGAATCGTACAGTACTATCCTAATATTTTGATCGTGTGAATCAAATGAAAACTTTACCGTTTTATTAAAGTACGTTAAATTATTTTTTTACTAAAGATTGCTAGTATTGAAAAGCCAAACGCAACGGATTATAATTATATTATGCATGGACAGCTTATTTGACACATGATCTTTATTAACATATTTGTATAGCTTTAGCACAGACAAACAGACATAACACATTGAGTATTTCTCACTGTAAAACATCGTCGTTAAAACATTACCGCCATCTGTTGAGTACACTGTGGTGGGCACTACGCTGAACAGATGGCGGTAGTGTTTAAACGTCAGACGCAAGGGGATTGACTATGCGCGCCACTAGTGGCGGTACTACCAACTACGATGCTTTTAAATTGTCCGTTAAATGCTTGTTCGATGAACAACTTGCGAGTGTTATGTCTGTTTGTCTGTGGCTTTAGCTTATTAGTGGACATAAAACCACAGACAAACAGACATAACACATTGTATATTTCTCACTGTAAAACATCGTCGCTAAAACATTACCGCCATCTGTTGAGTACACTGTGATGGGTAGTACGCTGAACAGATGGCGGTAGTGTGTAAACGTCAAACGCAAGGGAATTGACTATGCGCGCCACAGGTGGCGGTACTACCAACTACGATACTTTTAAATTGACCGTTAAATGCTTGTTCGATGAACAACTTGCGAGTGTTATGTCTGTTTGTCTGTGATAAAACATTTGTTTCATGCGAAATTAATGGAACGCACCCTAATTACACGCAACAGAACAACGGCTCTCTAAACAAATCTTTACACTTTTAACATTGAAATCAGTGGTTATGTAAGGAAATTGGTTTAGTTTTGTTGCTATTGATTCGTGGAGCTTTGCTTATTTCTGAGACAAATATTGCATTTTTTTAATGTGCTATGAAACTTTCAGAAATTTTGGTTGCAAAATAAGAAAGTTATTTAATTTTTTGAGTTTGTGGTTGAAGCAAAATAAACCGTTTAGAATTGTCTCCGAAAAAAGTGCACACACAATAACAGTTGTAACTTTTTAATCATCGTTTTCAGAGAAGATTATTGTGTACATAGTGCAATTTTTTGACGATCTGGAAGGTTTTATACCAAATTACAATGGAGTGAACACACTTCTCTCAGAAAAAAATGTGCACACTATTGCAGGCCTCCGCTGTTCGGTAAATTTTTAAACTACGGTTTGTTTAGTAAAAGTTTAAAAATCAGTGAAAAATTCAAAAAATAATCAATTTATACGGAACATATACATATATACAGACTTCGTTTAGTTAACCCCATTTAATAATAAAAAATAAAAATAAAACTTGTCAATTTGACTGATTACTCACCTGTAACGGAAATTTGAATATTTTACGACTTATTTAGATGTTCAAAAATTCAGTAAAATTCTACCGGTCTCATATATAAAATCAGCGGTTGCAAGAAAATTAGTGGATCATTGATGCTTTTGATTTGGGTCTTACCTATTTTTGCAGGTGAATGAGATGTAATTCAAAATATTGTGCAGCTTCTTTCATGTTTTATAGTTTTATAATCTGTAACTTGAACAAAGAACATACCGAATTAATAAAACATAGTAAAATGTACCATTTTGCACTTGTAATGGGAATGTGTTATGGTCAAAATCTAGTGGTGAAAATTATCTCAGAAATTCATAAAAATATAATTTGAAAAATATTTTCCATGAAAATTGAGAAAAGTTGCAAAGAAAAACCTTAAGAACCATTTTCTAAGTAATCAATTTTTTTCAATATTTTTTCGAAGGATAAGTGTGACAGTTTTTAACCCTAGTTGTCATCTAATTGGCCCTATTTTGAATTTCAGATTTTTTCATTCATTATATTGTTTATTTCGCTACAATGTTAGAGCACAAAACTGGAGCAATAGTTTTAAAACTGACACACTTACCCTACTTGAAGATTTCTTATCTTTCACTGGTGAAAACTTCAGGATGGATTCTCTTATTTTTTTGTGTTAAGATCAAAAATCTAACTAATTGAAAATTTGAATATAAAACATTATTTTTACAATGCCACCCACAAGGCAAAATTGCAAAGCAAGTGACGAATGTAAAAATCCGTAAACTTGTGGGCAAAGCTTCTAAAAAAAAAAATCTGAGACTCCTCTTTGGCACAAACCTGCAGACAGATCTTTTGAACCATATCATTTTGTCCGCGCACGGACTTTAAACTTTTACGTTGCGTTTTCATTGTTGTGTAGTTGAATTGAACAAAAAATACACCAATTGTTTGTTTGTACACCTTGACCGAACCTTATTATTATTATCATACAGAGTCTGAACAGTAAGTAGCATAGTTGTACATACATACATAGTTGTTACACAAACACATTTGCAATCACCTTAATTAAAAACGAGACATTTCACCAACATCCCATCAAATATGTTTTTAATTGGTTCAAACAAATTGTGATACTAATAGTAATTTTAATGTATAAGTGAAACAGATGAATAAAACAATTGATTTTCGTTTCGTGTAGCTGTCCATTTCTATAAAAATTAGTTTGTTTACATTTGTCAGTTTCACCCTTTTTAAACATTGGTACTGAATTGTGAATTTTCTATAGTGTAACCATTGTAGGGCCCCTTGAAAACGCATTTTAAAACGCATAATTTGATTTCTCAGCCGCGTCAAAAATGAAAAATGACAACAATGTTAGCTGTCATCCATCGCAAATAAAAAAACTGTAAATGGTGGATATTTTGCAAGCTTACTGCTAGTTCTGCGCAAAAAATAAAAAAAAGTCCAGTTTGGAAACATTGGAAAAAATATTCCGACTTGAGTGCGAATGGTTGAAAACTCAAATTCGAAACACCGTAACAAAATACGGACCGTACGCGAAGACAAATCGATGGAACGGGAACGAAGAAAATTCTGAAGTAAAATTTGTTACGATCGTGATCCGATCGGATTGATTCCTGTGATGTAAATTTTTTTTCCTCCTTGCTTGTTGGGACATATCGAATCGAGAACGAATCTGGCTGTCTGTTGTTTCGGGAAAAGATTACAAAAAATAGAGAGGAGGTACTTATGCAGATCTTTTAATAGAATATCTCATCGTGCCATTTTGCTCTACCAGAATCGGAGATTCAACGAAAAGAGTTATGATATTTATAGCTGACAGCACGAGTGAATGTGGAATTATTTGGGCTAAGTAGTGAGAAGGGTGCCTAATAAGTGTTTTGAGGCTGAGATTGAATCGCTATCGGAATGTGCTGATGGCTAGAAATTGGGAAATTTTGTAAAAAAAAAAACACTTGGGGAAGTGAAGGTTCTTTGGATTGCGGCGTATTGAGCAAGCGGAATGTGAAATAACGTAATTAATTTCTAGGGCACGTCAATATAAAGTGTTATTTTGAATGTGCCATCGAAATTGCAAAAGAATCCGGTTAAGTGCTGATATTTATTTTCTTTTATTGACCTTGCGTGATCGTCGATATCTACAGTGAATCATATTATGAGTTTGGTGAAAGCAAGGTAGAAGATGATAAACGAAGTTATTTATTGATAAGGCATTCAACGAACGACAATCTCTCACAACAATGGCACCTGTGAACGACCAGAATGAGGCTTTAAACACCCTCTGGAATGAGATTGTGAACGTGCACTGGAAGTTCCTAGATGCGGATGAGTCTATGGAGAAGATCGAGCTGAGGAGGTGCTTGGAAGGTAAGTGTGTATGCAACTACAGATCAAGCTGTGATTCTCCATTACTTTTGCATAGGGATATATATATGCTTTTGTAAACAATGATTCAAACGTCAATTTTTCGAAACTCTTAGCACTCCCAAGCGAACTAACAGCACCATTAGAAAGGGTAATGTTTCCCCAACAAGATGGGGTTGTTAGTTCACCTGGGAGTGCTAAGAGTTTCGATAAATTGACGTTTTATCTTTGTTTACAAATGCAGATACGTCCTGTTGAAAAAGTAATCAAGATTTGAGTAGTGAAGAGGACCTGGTACCTATAGAATTCATTGTCGATGCCGGTGTCTTATGAAAAAAGGAATAAATGGAAATATTAGTATGACACAAATCATGAGAGACCGGGGTGACCTTTTCTCACAATTGTTGCACCATAATCATGAAGCGGTTTACTCGGTTTACTCATTTAACTTAATCGTTGCGCGATAATGACGATGACTCACATGGGGAATACGACAGTCAAGCAACAAAGAGACTAGAATATACACTAGTGGAAATTAATATAAGGACACTTTGAAAAGCAGCCCAATTTTAAGAATCTGATGAATTCTGTTTGGAATCTACATGATCATGCTGCTATATAAAGCTAAGAAAGAATCAATTGCATCATGTACGTAGGAGAAATAAATGGAAATGTGATTTCTCCTCGGGAAAAAATATATGGGAAATTTATTTCCCAAGCATTATTTAACATGTCAAACATATTATTGCACCAAAATAATCGAAGAGTTAGTTCAAATAATAAATTAAACTTGATTTTTGCAGATGTATGCGTTGTTCAGCAGAAAAATCAAGTTTAATGATTATTTGAACTAAATAATTGGTGGCACAATGATTTTTGACATACTGAATTTTGCATCGAAAATGACCAATTTTCCGAACATTTTTGAATGTCCTCCGTATCTTTATTTCCTAAGGAGAAAAACATATTTCCGTTTATTTCTCCTCCGTACACGCTGCAATTACTTCTTTCTTAGGCTCATATTGTAGCATGATAATGTGGCTTTCAAACAAACTGTTTTTTAGAAATCCTCTGATTCTTAAAATTGGGAGGAGCAATGCTTTTTGAAGTGTCCTTATATTAAATTCGTCCAGTGTATATCGTCGTAATCGTAATCGAGTATAAGAGTAATCGTAGAGCTGTTTTGCATGCGTGTGAAGAGGTTCGCTGCGCTCTTCTATAGTCATCCGGGTTGGAAAAATTGCATTCACTGTCCACATGTGTAACTTTGTTGCTGTCTATGTCTGGTGCAGTTATTACCGACACTGGATATATCAACTTTCAACTACCGTAATGTGCTTGGGCTACACCGAACAAGATCTGTGTTTCACGCGGATATGATCTTCCATAGGTGGTGGAAAGTAGGACAAAATTGCCGATGTAACGATAATTGAGTTTCAACCAAAAACTCATTTTTACCATCATCTCTTGACAAAAAATGGAAATAATATGAATATTATAGTTCAGCATTTCTCAATCCACGTTACGCGGGTAACTATTTTGAGTTGATCTGAATTTAAAATCACGTTGGGATAATCACAATAATTGTGTCAGCTCAAATATTGAGCTTAACTTTCTACAACCCGATGTCGAGTCAGGACCATTTTGGCATTTCAATACCATTATGGGCTTTGTTGGCATTCTATTTTTCAATTGTAGAGCATTGAGTTATTCAGGGCCTTTTTTAAAATTTCAGCCTGCGTGCATTTTTCTACTTCGTCTGCGAAATAAGCGTGTAGGCAGAGAAAACAAAATACAATTCGGCAGAAGGGATTTGTACCTAAATTATCTTGCAACCGTTGCTAGAAGCCAGCATTTCTCATGACTTTTATTTTTGATTCGATTTACGTGCAAAATAATAATTGATTGCATCGCAATATTTTGCACATTTCTTGGTGCCATTAATCAACCCACTAAGATCAATAAATTAATAGAGTTAGAATATTGTTTTTGATTTCAGAAACTAGTTGAATTTGAGAAGCACACGAAACATAAAAGTGATTGAATTTCTGTTCGATTACAATACTCTCAAATTTAATCTAGTAAGAATTAGAGACGTTGATAGAGAGGCGTAAATAAAATTTCTGTCAAAATAACAGCACGGTTTTTAAGGGATCTTTTGGCAATGTCACTGCCGCTGGCAACCATGTTTCTTCGAGTGGCTTCAAATGGCTTTCATACAGTACCGCAATGCTGTCGAAAAAAATTGAATGTTCGACCGGACCGGAACTGAATAAAAATGAAGTGCGCGGCAACATTTTGCAAAAATAAAGCGAAGACGAGAGAAGACAGTCGCTCCAGTACAGTATAACCAACAATACGAAACTAATGATTTTAAATTGGCTCACTATACTTGACTAGCCTATTAGTTCCAAGCAAATCGATTAACGTATCCCATTCTAGTATAAATTCCAGTACTACACTTTGTTTGTTTTGATTCGCTATGAAAGTTTGACAGATAAAATAAGGGGTTCGTAGATTTTCCTATGTTTCGAGGGGTGTCTCGATTAGCTTGGGACCGAAGCTGAGCTCGTTTCTTCGGGACCTCCTGGTCTTAGAGTTATTTCTATGGTATGACTCTTGTCATATTTTACTGTTTTGCTTGCAGCGCAATCATTTTTATTACCATAAAACTAATTGATTGATTGATTGATTTATCTTTATTTAGGAGGCTTTCAGCCTGAGGCTGGTTCGCCTCCAATCACCATAACACTAAATAAAACGTTCTGTTGGCGATAGTTACCGCGATTGGTCGTGCATTCACTGCAAGCAGCAATTTTGAAAATTTCCGAAAAGCGTAACGTTAATTTGAAATTGCTTCTTATCACCAATAAATAACAGATATCAAATATTTCGTGAAAATAGTTAAACCCTTTTTCCTTCATTGAGAACAATACTCCTTTATGGTGTATTGGGCAAAAATTAATGGTTATTTACTTTGCTCGTTTGGTTCAGCATTTGACGGTTCGTTTGGTTCTTCTTGCTTCAGTCTATGCGTGTCTCTATTCAACGTCTCTGCTTTTGATCTCCTATTGAATTATCACACTGTAAACCATGAAAAAGCAGCCTGCCGGTGAGTTTTTGCTTGTTTGCAAGTAAGGAATATTTATCATACAAAAAAAAAATAAAGCACCAGCTGATTTTTCCCCGAGCCTTTACAAAAGAATACTATCAAGCGTTTTCATCATACAAACATAGCTAGGATTTTCTATACTACATGTTTCGCAAATTTTCGTTCGAGTGTTATGACGTCGTGACCATACTCTCCCGGAATGTTTACCTTTTTCCCTCTACCAACACATACATGATGGCTAGATCTCTATAGAGATTAGTGACGTTTAACACACGCACACTAGCGGGAGCAACGCCGTGTAAAGTTTTTTATTATATTCCTCTGGCTAACCTAAAAAATGTATGAAAGTAGATCTGTCAAAATGAAATATCACTTCAAATCATCAAAAATGTTTCTTCTTACATGGCGTATTTCCAACTTTCAACTTTATGATGAATCTGGTTGTTACGCCTTGCACAAGAACCAACAATCAATACGAAACTAACGATTTTAAATTGGCTCACCACTTTAGTAGCCTATTGGTCCCAAGCAAACGATTAACGTACCCTATTCTAGTTGAAATTCTATTACTACACTATGTTTGTTTTGATTCGCTATGAAAGTTTGACAGATAACATCAGGGGTGTGAGTGAAATAGCTTGGGACTGCTTGGGACCGTTGTTCTGGTACTGAGTGAGCCAAAAATAATAATGATTTTCTTCGGGACCCAGTGGTCTTAGAGTTACCTCTATGCTTCCACGGCGTATCACCAGTGTTGGCAGTTCAAAGGGTGGAAGATCTGGGGGGTAACAACATGTATGAAATTATCAGGGCGTATGATGTTTTCTTCTCAATTTCACGACAAAGAAAACTTTTTTTGAGTTTTTAGTGATGCATGATGATAGATTACACTATTATCTATATGTCAAGCTTATAAAATCAACCAGAAAATGGAAAGTCGTGAAATAGGATTAATTTTTAGGTCAACAAAATTCAGAAGCGATTTTCTCGATATGGTCATTTTGGAATTACGCCCTTTTCAAATGTTAATCTAGATTTTAAACATTTCTCGCGTCACTTTTCAAATAGACCAATTTAACAAATGTAAACAAATCGAGTTAAGCGATACAAACTATTGCTCTTCTATCATTGTATGTGATACAAAAACATCCATCCAAATTTACTTTCATTTATTCCAGATAATCATAGGTAAAAAATTGTCCAATGTACAGTTTGAAATGATGGGTACATGTTTGTTACTTCGGTCATTCGGACTGCCTAACATGATTGGTGCTCATTTTCTAAAGGCGGGGCCAACCTAAAGTTAGGTACTCTACTCTGAAATCTGTGAAAGGGAATCTAGTATCATGTAGACAAAACGTCCAATGTAACACTCATTGATTATGTCATTAAGAAAAATCGTCCAATGTAACATGTCCGATGTACAACTTGACTAGTCAAAACGTCCTATGTGTTTTTTTTTTCTATATTGTACCATGAAATTCAAAGTAAAATTGTGGTTTTACCGTTTTTAATGAATTTTCAACGTTATTATTCACTGACTACATTAAAAATGGCATTGCAAAATGTATTGTTTCTAAACAGTTAAAATAATAATCTGTCGAACTTCAACTTCGATTTTCTCAAAATGGTGGATAATGTTGCATAGGTCTATTTGAAAAGTGACGTGAGATTTTTACTTCTAACACCAGCAAAGCTACTTGTTGTTCCAGACCTATGAAGAGGAGACAACTGACTTCTTACTCTTTATCTCTATCTCTATCTTACGCACTTCAAATCGGCCAATCACGAGATGGTTCGCGTTTGACAGAAAAGTGGTTCGTTTTCGCCCCCGTATTGTCTCTCTTATGGGGCCTCCCTTAGCTCAGTCGGTAAGGGCGCAGCTACAAAGCAAGACCATGCTGGAGGTGGCTGGGTTCGATTCCCGGTCCGGTCTAGGAATTTCGGGTTGGAAAATTTCTCGACTTCCCTGGGCATAGAAGTATGATTGGACTTGCCACACAATTATACCAATGCAAAAATGGTACAGGCATCGAAAGCTCTCAATTAATAACTGTGGAAGTGCATCTAACTAAGTTGAGAGCACGCAATAAGCTAATATGCGATATGCAATAAGCTTGAAATGCGAAGAAGAAGAAAGAATATTGTCTCCTCTTCTCTTAGTTCTAGACCTTGTATGATTGATATCGGATCGCAGCCACTCTTGCCTACACGGTAAGAAAAAAGTACCCAAAATTGAGTTCCTTTCACTCAATACGTGGCTTCCGTGGGGCTAGATAAGATTAAGTTAAAGAAGAAAACTCAGTTTTGAGTAATCCTGATCATGAATCCACGTTGACCAAGTTGACAAAAAAATAATAAAACGGAGCAGACTGGAACCGAACCATGGACGTTGAAATTACGGGGCCCGTGTGTTGACCACTCGTCTATCAACGCTTGTGGAAATGAAATGGTTAAAGGCGCATAAGAGCAATAATTTAAATAAACTTATATTTGAGTTCATTTATTATTACTCAATAGTTGAGTAAATTTTAACCAACGCCGCTGTTCTGATTCACTCAACGGCGGACCTCAAATGATAGAACCCAACGTTGAGTTTTTTTTAAACTTAATTTTGAGTATTTTTTTCTTGCCGTGTAGTTGCTATATCAAGAACAACATGTGAAAAGGGCATTCAAGCTTTTTGTAAACAAACCTTCTTATGCCCTTTTCTCGCCACCCATATAACATCAAAGTAAACCAATAACATTAGCGGATAGGGAAAGCTTTCCCCTTCCCGATGATGTTGTTGGTTTGCGTGGGTGACCCTCGGTTGGCGAGAAAAAGGCATATAAAGGTTTGTTTACAAAAATCTTATATGCCCTTTTCACATGTGGCTCTTGATATATTTATAGCCAAGCGACTATAGAGATTGCTAAAGTGTATTGTGTCAGTGATTTGTTTTCATCGGGAGAAATTTCCGCTATGAAGTTATTTTTTTCCTGATGAAAACATTTTGCGTATACTTCCGCACGGTAGTGATCATCAAAATTTCGATTGCCAGTGGGTTCAACTCGTCAGAATCCGTTAACGTCGCGTATGATCTAAGTTCCAATCCGCGATAGGCGATACAGTATCGTCAGTGGAAGAGCTTCCGCCGGTGGAGGAATATAACTTCCTCTCTAATCTCATCGTCGACAGCGCACTTCAAGCTCAAACACGACCGGTGCCGCGATCGTCAATTCGTAAGAAAATACCATCGCTCTGGTGGGATCAACAATGCACGGAGGTTTACCGTAAAAAGTCCGACGCGTTTAAACTTTTCCGGAAACGCGGAACACGCGAGCATTTCGACGCATACACATCTCTTGAACGCGAACTTAAGAGCCTCATCAAGGCCAAAAAACGGGGTTACTGGCGGCAGTTTGTAGACGGATTGTCGCGCGAAACGTCTATGAATACGCTTTGGAGTACGGCGCGAAGAATGCGTAACCGGTCTACTAACAACGAAAGCGAGGAATACTCGGATCAATTGATTCTTAAATTCGCGCGAAAAGTGTGTCCGGATTCCGTGCCGTCGCAGTTGATTCCTCGCGAAACCGCGAATTCGGTAGACGAAATCAGTCAGCCTTTTTCAATGGTCGAACTTTCACTCGCTCTCCTTTCGTGTGGCAATTCTGCCCCGGGATCTGATAGAATCAAGTTCAACTTGCTGAAAAACCTCCCAGACGTCGCTAAGAGGCGCATGTTCAATGAGGTACAGAGAGAGGTGGCGCAGATCGTGAAATAGGGTTGTATTAGTAAACCAAAAAATCAACGTAAACGCAAGTAGTGACGTCACTACTTGCGTGTACTTGCGTGTATCGTACAGTGGTTGTGTGAGTGATTGCTTCACCTCGGTAATCCAGCTCATTGGCGCATGTTGAATTTGTTCAATCAGTTCTTGGAGCTCAATATTGTTCCCGACGATTGGAGACGAGTGAGGGTGATAGCCATTAAAAAACCTGATAAACCCGCATCGGATCACCATTCGTATCGGCCCATCGTGATGCTGTCGTGTATTCGGAAATTGATGGAGAAAATGATGGTAAGGGAACGAACGACTGTCTCGCGTTGCTTTCCTCGGAAATTCAGTTAGCTTTTGCTAAGAAAGAGCAAATGGCTTCTGTGTTCTTGGATATCAAATGGGCTTTTGATTCAGTATCCGTTGAAGTTCTTTCAGAGAAACTCCACGTTAGTGGATTGTCTCCATTAATGAATAATTTTTTGTACAATTTGCTGTCAGAAAAACATATGAGCTTTTCTCATGGAAACTCTACAGTTTTTCGATTTAGCTACATGGGTCTCCCCCAAGGCCCCTTTTGTACAATTTCTACGTTGTCTTAGTGACAATTGCACGTTGAGACAACTTGCAGATGACGGCGTGTTGTCTATCACAGGGCCAAAAGAGGTTTACCTGCAAGGACCCTTACAGGATACCTTGGACAATTGTAAATCGTTTTTTCGATGCCCTAATAAAAAATAACCATAAACGAACGGTAACCCAAATGATTGAACAATTCCACAAATGGTTTGGATGATACCCCGAACACGTCGTTAAGCAAATTAACCATAACATTTTTATTAGGGTGTCAACCCGCATAAACGCGAACCATAAATTGACCTTACCTAAAATGGTTAAAAATTGTTTATAATCCCTGCTAAACTTTAACTGAAATGGTTATGGAACTTTACATGAACGTTTAATGATAAAGTTTCAACCTTATGTATTATGGTTTTTTGGAACTGGACCTTACAAATAATGGGTTGTTAAGAACCATTACCATTCCAAATTCTTGTTTTCTCCATACATTTTCAGAAAGAGAACTATATAAGAACGTTTTTACTTATGATTTGAGAACATTAATGGTAATGGTTATGGTAGTCAGTAAGGTCCATTAATGGTTTTGTATTATCGCTCAACTTTACGTGGAATATATCGTGAATTGGTAATCAGTAAATTACAGGCAACCAATTCGCGATATATTCCACATAAAGTTGATCGATGTTACAAAACCATTCGTGGACCTTACTGACTACCATAACCATTACCATTAAAGTTCTCAAACCATAAGTTAAAAGGTTCTAATATAGTTCTCTTTCCGAAAATGTATGGAGAAAACAAGAATTTGGAACGGTAATGGTTCTTAACAACCCATTATTTGTTAGGTCCAGTTCCAAAAAACCATAATACATAAGGTTGAAACTTTATCATTAAACGTTCATGTAAAGTTCCATAACCATTTCAGTTAAAGTTTAGCAGGGATTATAAACAATTTTTAACCATTTTAGGTAAGGTCAATTTATGGTTCGCGTTTATGCGGGAATACAATAACAAAATTTAACACCTATTTTTTTTTTTAAAGATTGAAGAGATCGATTTTTTCGATATTTTCGTGCACAAAGAATCCTCGAAAGAATAGATCCGAAAAATCGTAAATCGGGATAAAAAAAAGATCGATTCAAGATCGCTCAATCCTAATACCCTTGCCGCGGGTGTAAAGAACTTTCATGTCAGGGAGCTAAAGATTGGAAACTTTTAAATTTTGTAATTTAAACTTATTTATACTCACAGTTATAACATTCATACACATTGTAACCTAAAAACTGAATTCAAACCTAAATACCACAGTGAAGTTATCACAGAAAGTAAGTTGTAGATATAATTATATTCTTACACTATTTCTAACCCCAAAAGTATAAAGCTGGGTTTGGACTAGTTGGAGGGTTAAGGGGAAGAGCGGTTGGTGTGTTTCCACGGTCCAATGATTTCGCTTTCCAAACTGGCCACCTGGTTTGTTGACAGCTCCTCATTTGCACCAATGGCAAAACCAATTTTCAATTTCTATGTTTTCATATCATTGCAGATCTTATCCTCCAGTACTTATGCAATATGCCACACAATCAAAAATTCTTTCTTCCTCCAACGGCGCAGGTACTCAAAAAGTAAGGTTGACCGCATACATTATCGACTAGAAAATTTAATTTGATTTGTTCGCTTTGTTTTTAAATAGTTCAATCGCTAAATTGGAAGACTTTTCCGCATACAAAGCAGCTATCGGATTTGAAGCAATCAGCCAGTACGCGAATAACCTTTTCACGAAACCATGGCGGAAGGAGTACAAAGTGATCAAGGTACGAACGAAAATAAGCATTATTATTCTCACGCAACTTCAGAGGCTTTCATTGAGATATTAATATTTTCAGATGTACTCTGGATTCTACCAGCACGAAATTGCGGCCAATTTGATAGGAGCGGAAGTGCTTTTCGAACAGATGGGCTACCGAACGATGCCAAATCAAACGTTGGTTCTCGAGGGGCCCATCTGTCCCGATCGGGTTACCAACGTTTCCAAGGATGCCATTACGGCCAACGTAGAGTGTCAGGTAAAATAACGTTATTTGAAGCGCGGTTTACATTTGAACAGCCGTTTTTATTTTTATTTGCAGATTATGAAAGAAATCTATCGCGATCTGACTGAAATGTCCCTGCCGGTTAACTGGAGTGATATCTACTGTTTTCGGGAATGCAATACAAGTATGAAAGAAGCACTTCACTCGTCGGCTTGATATTTTTTTTCATAACAATGTATGTTTTTACAGTGAACGTGATGCAATCGGTACAGCTGATGGCTGCGCTGATTCAAGAGAAGCACCAGAAAACCCAACAAGCTAGGCGAAAAGGTATTTACGATACGTTGTTTAGTGATTTTAGTCCATACTACTCATACGATAACATTTGAATGATGCAAACCGTAGTTCATTAATCCGATCATACATACATAGGATCAACATCTTTAATATACCTGTACTGTTATATATTAAGATGTTCTATTCTATTTAGTACGGCTTACTTACGTTTCGTAGCGTATAATAAATCCATAAAACTCGTATTCCATTTAGCTCTACTATTTATTTCATAACTCTGTATCTTGCGCTTTATTAACTGTTAGCACCTCTTTTGTTCAGATTTGTGTTTAATAAATAACAACCCTTTCGGTGAATTATTTTCCTTTGCCTATTCGTCGTATTTAGTTAACTGTTGTCATCATCAACCACCAATCATCTTCTTTCCCCGTGTATCCTGATTCCTCTAACAACTATAATTTCTTTAGTATGTAGGTGTAGCTTTCGACTTTTAGCTCCCTAGTAATCCTTGTAGTCAGTGCGCAAAACAGCCAGGTTCAATGAGTGATTTTCATATGAATATGATCAGCCATCCGCCTATCTTTCATTGCCTCGTGAGAGTATGAATGATTGGGAATTAAACGAGTTACTGACAGTAGCTCAGTCATCAAGTTTATTATTTCGTGATGTTATTTACCCAAACATTGTTTTGAATTATTGAGCGAACATTTTGTATGGAAAAATGCCTCAAATACGTGTGAGCGAAGGCAAGCGGTATGAGTCGCATGTTCGTGAGTGACTGAATGTTTTTGTTAGATCTTTCATTGCCTCGCCCTTTACCGCTTGGTACAATCGGTCTGGATAGAGCAATTAATTGAATAGTGTCACCCCGCATCGTGCTCTCTTGCCGTGCGGATTTATTTGCTTTTTGCTGAAGGAAGTGTTACAACTACCTAAAGCTACAACAAATTTAAACAGCACTTTACCTCAATATACCTGTACATATTCTACCTTGTTCATCTCTTATTCCTCCTCGATCCATGTTTGGACCCTACCCGAGGTAATCCTGCTTGGATATCGATTTGGAAATTTCCTCTTGAATCCTTTAGATTCTTATAGTAATTGGAAGTCGATTTGGATAATAGTTTGTTTTACTGCCGTCATGGCGCCTAAGCGCAAAAGAAAAGGGCAATCTCTTGATACCCCTTCTGATGAAATTAATTTGAGCAATCAATTTGATTTGCTCACGGTTTATGAGAATGATCCATCATCCAGGAAAATTCTATTAAACGTTCCCGGATTAATGCCAAGAAGGAAAAGATTTCCCCTATTGTGATAACCACTTCCGATTTCCATGCTCTTCGCTCGGAACTTTTGAACTTCGTGAAATTTAAGTTTTTATTGCAAATTGGTCGTTGGGGTGAATGTCGTGTACAGGGTTGCCTTCCATTCATTTTGACTAAAAAAATGTTTTAGAAAATTATGGAATAATAAGATATTATGGTGGTATTTTGTATGCGTAAGGAACAAGAAAAGATTTTAAAGTTTGTGTTTGACACATAAAACCTGCAAATTTAGCTTTGACAGAGCCACAATGAGCGATTTTCTGATCGCCTCTTCGCGAAGAGTGAAGAGCGAAGAGTGGGTGAGATAAATAACAAAATCGCTTATTGCCACTCTCATGCAGCATCATTGGCTGGTATTATGTGTCAAACACAAACTCCACAATCTTTTCTTGTTGCTTACACAAACAAAATATTATAATAATATCTTATTATTCCATAATTTCATAAAACATTTTTATAGCCAAAATGAATGGAAGGAACCCTGGTCGTGTATTGGCTGAAACCTTGGACGGATTCAAACGTCTTCTCAAGTATCTTACTGAAAAGCAGCACCAATTTTTTACTTACGACACCAAAACTGTTTGTATGTTTAAGGTTGTCATAAAAGCCCAGTGGTGAATCCCTGGATCAGATCAAAGATGAACTGGCAAAATTACTTTGAGTTGTGCCAGTCCAAGTAATCAAAGTGAAAATGAAATCCCGTCCTGGCGATTCGCGCAACGGGATTTCTAATAATTTTTATTTAGTTCACTTCAAGTCTAGTGAACTAAACAACCTTAAGGCCTTGGAAAAAGCTAGCCTTATACTCCATGTCCGAGTGAAGTGGGAACACCTCACCCAGTGCCGTAAGTGCCAGGGATGGGGTCACGGAACAGCTAAATGCATGAATTGTGGTGATTCCTCTCACGCAAAGGACGACTGTCCTGTGAAGGAAGATCCTAAGAAATTTAAATGTTCAAATTGTGGTGAAAACCACAAATCCAATTTTTGGAAATGTAAGACTCGCAAAGCGATCCTTCAATCTCGTTCTATCTCCTATCTGATAACAATGTTCATCGAGTAAATGGAGCTATCTATGCTGATATTACAGCGGGTAGAAATCAAAATACTAGCCAACACAATTCTAACGGAAATTTTGATACTTTTGACTTAGGAAGCATTACCAACAATCAATACGAAACTAACGATTTTAAATTGGCTCACTACTTGACTAGCCTATTGGTCCCAAGCAAATCGACTAACGTACCTCATAATAGTATAAATTCCAGTACTACACTATTAGCGAATTCGTTTATTATTCAGTTCCAACCTGGATCGGGTATCAAGATTTGGTCTGCTTGTTTTCTGACAAACGTCAGTTTGATCGTTTGCATTTAAAACCCAGCTCAGGTTGAGGTTCGCACTGACAAAAAGTTCGGTTTCTTCTTCTTCTTCTTCTTCTTCTTCTTCTTTCCTTTATTTAACGTCGGTCTCTGTTCCGCAATCTAGTGCCTATCACCGACGGACATCGATTGCCATCCATTGACGGCAATCGAATGTGCAGGAAGGCAGCTTCCACACCTGCGTAGGATATCGCACCCATTCAAACACACATATGGGCCGGGACCAACGGCTTTACTTCCCTTCCGAAGGAAGACGTGACCAGAGATTTTTATGCCTCAGAAAAATCCCACCGACCTCGGCTGGGATTGAACCCAGACGCATTGGGGTGAGAAAGCAGTCACGCTTATCACTACACCACCGGCGCCAGCAAGTTCGGTTTCGCACTGGGTAGGAACTGGTTCCAACCCCGATAATAAACGTATTCGCTATGAAAGTTTGACAGATGAAATGAGGGGTTAGTTATGTTTCGAGGGGTGAATCGATTAGCTTGGAACCGAAGATAGTACCAGAGCTGAGCCAAAAAGTTGAGCTCGTTTCTTCGTGACCTTCTGGTCTTAGAGTTACCTCTATGGCATTACTACAAAGTATTTTTTTCTGTAGCTTTGTCTCAGACGTCATGTCGATCAGAAATGTCGTTTCCAAGCTACAATTTTTTGAAAATTTTCTAGGGCACAATTTTAAACATTTTACAAGATCGAAACTGGCCGAATTTTAGCAAAAATGTGACACATAACAAACAATTACACGAAGTTCCATACAAATCGGAGAAGGTCGATTCAAAACTTCAATTTGCCTGGAACTGCTGCTTATACTCAATATAATTTTTTTCCATATGGAACAATAAGACCACCTTTAAGTTGAACATGAAAACCTTCCTATAATCGAAGACAACATATCGAGTCTTGATTTGATGTCTTCGCTATAATCGTCAATTCAAAAAACAGCAAAAAGAAACCACTTGGCAAGTACTTGTACTTATTGTTTTGTCCGTCACTGTGTATTACTTTGCCAAATTAGCATTGCACCAAATTTCGTACACATCTTTCTCATCTTGTAGAATTTCCTACTTCATGCTTCATCCTGGTTTAGTATTCCTCTGCATGCAATTTCAAAAAGCCTCATTTAAGTTAGAGACACATTTCGCCAGTGAATCTAGTCGAATCGAACGTATAGGTTGTTTTGTTTCTTTTCTCTTCTTTTCAACCGCTACCCTAGAATCGTATGGCAGTACGCTAGCGCCAGCAGTTAGCTCTTGCAACTCTTGCAATCCGTATCAGTTTCATCCACATATGCAACACCAACAGCAGCAGCAGCAGCAACCGCTGGCTCCTCAGCCACCTCCTTTGGCAGTCCACTCACAGCAAGCTCCTTCGATGCCCTTCTGTGGTCCTCAATCCTTATACAATACCGGTCCCTGTAGTATGCATAATCAACCTCCAAGCCTGGCTTACGGTTATCATCATCATAATAGTTACCAAAGCTACCTACCGAATTCTCCATCCCAACCCCATGCTCCTCACCCATCGAATCAATCCTCTGTGATCCCACCCCACCCACCGCCTCCCCTCGGAGTGATACCCCATTCTAAATCGTTGGACCATTATCAAGATCCTGCCGCAGCCATGTACAATCTGACCGCTTGCATGCAACGGCATTCGATTGATCAGGCCTTTGATTATGCCGCAGTGTCGTCGGCATCGCATTACGGCGGACCGATGGGAATGGGTCCTCCGACAGGAGTCTACGACGCTGTTGACAGCTGCAACATGCCGTATAACAACCATCCCTATAACGTTTCCGGAAACCGGTTTCCATTACCCTACAATCTCTCCACAAACATAGGACCATGTATCAACGGAATACCAGGAAAGCCAAACGGAAATGAACCATTTTATCAACCCAGTATTAATGGTTACCAGCAGATGCCGCCGTATTACCACCATCGAAGCAGCAGTAACGGTCAAATATATGGTCAGCAAGCGCAATCCCATAGACATGCTGCAGACATCTATATGAATCACAGCTTTGATCACGCCGGTTCGCAAACTCCTACATCTATCTTGAGCAAAAAGAAGACTTCCTACGATGATTACGATGTTCCTGCGATACGTCATGGTGGAGACGCCAAAAATCTTGGGGATCTTATCTACATTGACACTCGGGAAGAAACGATGAAAGAACGAAAGAAATCCGATCGATGCATTAAGGGTACCGATTTGCTGATGGACTACGAATGTGATATGCTTCCCGAATCGCTGGCCGAACGAAATCAACTTCAACAGCATCAGCAGCAGCAACAGCAGCAACAGCAGCATCAGCATCGTAATCCCTACTTACAACATCAGACATCCCGAAACTCACGGCAGTCCGATTTCGATAGCTATGAAGAAGAACAGCTGCAATCCGGAGCTAATGTGCGCGCTACGAACGTGACCAAGCGTATATCGAGTAAAAATCAGGACGGTATTGGCTCGTACGAGCAATGGAACTACGTGTTCAAAAATTTGGAGAAACAGGGATACACCAAGGATTTGGGCGAAAGAGGAGATTTTCTAGTGGACGTAGACGGAGAAGAGTACCCCGAAGGAAACACCAGCAGGGGCAGTACAATGAAACGCAGCAGCAACGATAAACTGAAAGCGATGAAGGCTAAATCTGCGGACAAGGTTGATGGGATACGTATCTTATCGGCCAAGCAAAGCCCATCAACCAAGCACGATCGGGACAACGAAAGAAACGAAATTGCTGCACGAACTGCTCAAAAGCCCATCTCAGTACAAAAAATTGCAAAACCTTCCAGCAATACCCAGACAGACAATAGCCAGAAGGCCAATCACACAACCAATCCAAGCAGCAGCAGCAGTGTTAACTACGGAGGAACAATCAGCAGACGAAACTCCATCCCTCGCAAGGTTTCGACCTCTACTAAAGAGAATGGCACTTTAGTGAACGCTTCGGCTAATAACAGTGTATCTGGCGGCGGAATCCTGGTCAATCACAACAACTCAAGCTATACGTCGTCTTCTGCTTCGGGTAAAAAGAAAACTACCAGTTTCGACACGGCAGCAGCCACCATCATCAATCCAGAGGACGATCGACGCGCCAGCAATGGCTGTACGGGTCGCAGCGAATGGAATTGTGAATTTTGCACTTTTTTGAATCCCGACACAAAGCGCATTTGTGAAATGTGCGCCAAGAGTCGGGACTTTAATTTGAACAACGGCGGAACAACGACGGCGACCAGCAATGGGACAGCGACCTGTGTCTAATAGAACAATATTGTGATCAAACCTGAGAAAGAACCGACAATGTAATGGTTATCATTTGCCGACAGAGGAAAATTAATAATTCGACCATCTTACAGGTCACCTAACTAGTCAGAAATCAAGAAATATATGAAACTTATTAAATATATATTAAAATTGTTATACATTACACTATTTTTAGATTACCTAAGACAGAAGAATCTAATGTCTAACATTTGTAGCAATTTCTAAAACTAACTAAAATGTAAGCTCATGTTTCCCAAATTATGAAAATTTTAATAAAATAACTTTTCTTTGTTTGCTGTTGACAAATGAAAACGTAACTGCGTTCAAAAAATTCCGAAATCCCTTTCCTTAGCTCGTTTTGTGACTGCTTCTTTCCATCATCCTCGATTTCGTTCCACGCTCTCCAAATCTGGGGCCTCCTTATGGAAGTCGAAACGAAGCGTTTTTTGTATGAACGCTAGTATCAAAACAAAAAGTCTTTTCGACTTGCGACTTGCGCTCCCCTCTTCGGAGGGTGTGGCTTATACAATCCGAGCGTCTGTTATCTATCATAAGGGCTGCTCAAAGCAGTGGCTGATCATGGTCGCTGGTCGTGACCATGTTACAGTCGTTATAAATCAATGGAGACGCATGGTAGTCCTAGGATAGGAATATTGAGCGAAAACCCAACACTTGATAACTTAAAAAATATCGATTTTTTGGACCACCCTTACATAAAAATAGTCACCCTAATGAAAAAAAAAAATAAATACGGGTTTAATTTTTTTCTTAACGATAAAGAACAAAACTACAAATTTTTAAATTCTGAGAACCGATTTTAACCATTTTAATCATGTTAACAAACTTTTGATTGTTCGATTGTTCAAAATCTCATGGACAAGGACGGGATCGAAATAGATCAGACCATGGCGGATGATCAATGAAAGAAAAAGGAAGATCCAGGAGCGGTGTTTGTTGGGAGCTGTCTTAGTTGATGGGCAACGAAGATCCCAAGATGATCACGATGGTGTGAATCCAGCAGGCTTATAGTGATACCGAGAGATGCCGAACTGTTGCATTTGATGCATCTCTTTCCGAGGGCTGGCAACGAGTAGCGGTTTTCCTTAATCAAGATCCAAGAAACTTTTCTGAACTCGGGAGCTTCAAGGTTTATTCGGGTGAGATCCTTCCTTTTTATTTATTTAGTTCGCAACATTATGTTCCGTATAAATTTCACTAATACAGTACTAAGAAAACAAATTGAGTAACTCGGCTAGCTTAGCGGCTGCTGCGTTTGCTTACTGTGCATAAGATCGTGCGTTTATTATCAAATTCCTCAAAAAAGCTATCATATGCTTTTAATACGATGGCCTCTCGTTGGGTAAGTACTACAACAACATTTCCTGACCTATCCCTAGTTACGGTAAATATGGGCACACAAAAGGAAAAGTTCGCGAGTCATTGTGAGTTTTAGCGAGCTTTTCCTGTAGATTGATTAGAGACCCGTTTTTTTCAGTTTTTACACAAGGAAAGATAGAACTAGGGTTCCTTCCTCTTTTTCCTTTCTCCTAAGGGCTTTTATTCATTTTTTTTCTTTTCAGAAAGCGAGTAATGGCGCTATAACCATAATCCATATAGGGCTAAGACAAGAGCTAGTGCTCATGTCCCAACTACTCGAGGAAAATGGAGCATCATTTAACTTTTTTAGATTAGATGCTCCCAACGACCAATCATTTATAACAACGGAATGTACGGTACGAGAGATGTCCACGTTTCATCCATTTATTGGCCTTTGAAGCATCGTGTTTAAATCTTTGATTTAAACAGGCCCGATGTTTCTGAATCATCTTGCCCCTTAAATGCTGCACAGTAGGCCTGACCGTTTTGATATATTTTGCGCATCTCTGATGTACAAAATAAAATATACCAAATAGACAAGAAAAAGGATGGAATTGCTTGCTCAGAAAGGTAAACATCGAAAACAAAAGTGGTGACTTTATCCTATCAACCCGCCTCATATATTAGAACAACCGTGGCACAGTGAGATCGAACGAAGACTCGAGTATTTTTTGAGTGTATTGAAATGCAAAACACTTTAAATCCATCTGTTTTGAACAGTAATGTGATTCAATGTGCAATACACTTGAATATATAGTGAAAGATTTTCAACTTTTCAAAGTTTGAAACACTAGAAATTAACTTGTATAACACATTGAACTAAGGTGAAATAATACACTTAAAGTAAATGTGATTGCGCATTTAAAAAATCACTTCGATCAAACGTGTGGAATTTTTTGACTGTAGGGATACACTTTGCGAGTACGAAAAATGAACAGGTTTTGAACGCTATGTTTCGGCTATTGCATGAAACATTTTCAATAGTTTTGCATCAATCGATCGGAAGTTTCTTTGCGTATCGATTCCAATAGGTAAAACTATTGATTTTCAACAACATACTTTTGATAAATTGGTGACCATCATTCATCATGTATACCAAAGAATCAATTAATCACGAGCATGCATTCCTACCGCGACACCTCAATATACTGTATCAACCATTTTTTGGCATAAATGCAATCAACCAGCTGCCAGAGGTCGAATTTCGAACGCCTTTGGATACGGTTGTGTCTAAATTTGCTCTCTGTTTTGTGCGTGCATTCTCTTTCATAGTTTTCGGCTGCATTTGACGGATTAGCGCTGGCACTCTGCTTCCCGGACGGTTAAAATACGCGTGGGAGCATCGGGAATGCGCTCCCGGGTGAAGTGATTTGGTGAGAACGTTCCAGTTGAAGATGGTTGACAAGTGTATTTGTGGTGATGCAAATTATGTTTTAAATGACGTATGGCTTCAAACAGTTTTGTGTATCCAAATAAAACATGTTACATACTAAATACGCACAGGGCATCGTCTGCTGACCATTGCCGCGGGTATATCGTGGGAGTCCCAGGTACCCGGTTCAAGCTTTAGTTGGCGGCGGTGGCTCTTCTTGACCTTCTATCCCCTGAGTAGTTAGTGTGAATAAGGGCGTCTATGTGATGTTTTGCTGTACCTGTTGTGGACATCTAGTGCATCCTGTTCCCTTAACTTGTTGAGAACACCCTGTCTTGCCTCAAAAGTTACCCTTTTTGAAGTACTAGTCTTCACAACATAAAGGGCACCATTACGGAGCATGAGATTTGATCAAATTATTCGCAGTTCTACTTGTCCAACGCCCCCGGCTGGATGAGGGATAGAGGATGACACACACACACACACAAATGCAATCAACCAGCTGCCACTTTATAACAGAGCGGTATCATCATCATCGCCTCACGCTCATTCTTGCATTGGATCGCAAGGCCTCATTTCTACTCAACAACTACCCACCCACGTGAGAGGTTTTCTTCCAACCTCACTGGACTGCAGATCCCGGCCGGTCGAATCCACCGTTTGCCGAGCCTTTTGGTACTGGTGCCCCAGTCTAGTTGGCCGCTTCTTCCATAGGACCGCGCGGCGAAGGGATCGCCTGAGCTCAACAACTCTACTGTCCCACCAAAGCTGCAACAAGATAAGCAAAGAAGAAGCCTCGTTCCAACCTCGCTCGAGTGCAGTTCCCCGTCGGTCGCATCCATCGTGTGCTCAGGAAGGGCAACTACGCCGAGCCTGTTGGTACCGGTGCCCCAGTCTACTTGGCTGCTGCAATATCTGAGTTGGCAGGAAACGCCAGCTGCGACAACAAGACAAACATTATCCCTCGTCAAGTGTTGTTGGCTTTCCGTAAGGACGAAGAACTAAACAAAGTGCTGTCTGGCGTCACCATCGCCCAAACTGGAGTACCATCTAATATCCAGGCTACCATAAAGTCCTCCAAGTAAAAGTTTGAACGTCTGTTAAAAGTTGTTCCAATCGAACCGTCAAAATGCACTGTTTTGCACAATTGGAACAACTTTTTTTCAGTTCAGACTGTGATCACAATCGTCCATATTTTTACTAGAGGTTTAGGCTACCCTGTTGTCCATGCAGCCTGTATACATATACAAAAGGCATGGATTGCATCCCGCTCAATCAAAACAAAACCGTTCTTTTCAGGTCGACAATATTAATTGTAGCACTTAAGAATTATTTTTAATAATATTGCAATATTGATAATGTGACAATGTTACAATTTGGTGTGGCCCCTTTGTTAGATACCATTGCTTGAAATAGGGTCTCCCTACTGAACATGTTCTTCACCTTACATAAAAAAAACTTTTTTTTATTGTACGAAAAATACGGTTTGAACGAAAACGAGAATATGTTTTTAAAACGGTGGAGTGCATTTTAAAGAACACATACTGAAAAATTTGAAAATAAAACATTGTTCAATGCGTTTTTCGATCAATCCAAACATTTATTTCTATTCACCTGTATGCAATTAACCTACATCACACTATGTAAATTTTTAGCATCGGCGTATGTAGTTCGCAGCTGTCAAGCATAAAACAAAACTTTAGCAAAACAAGACATGAGGTATTATACAAATCCGTCCTAATTATTGTTATAGTATAGTTCATTATCTCTTGATTGACTTAAAATTTATTCACATAATTGATTGAATTTTATTACCACAGCTATTATTAACGGCCATTTTTTTCAGATGAACTTGAATAGCCGGATTATTTCCTGGAGAAATAAAATTGTTATTTCTTCGGTACAGTTTTTATATGACACACATTCCTATCGCTTGTTTGCGACATGATAACATCTTGTTCCTACATTTGAGAATCCTAAACCCATTTAGTGTAAAACATAATATCAAAGGTTTAGAGTTGTGGAAACATCTTCACTTACAAGGACATTATGTGATGATGCATTAGGTAGTGGCTTGCTTTCGGAAAATTAGAAAGCGTTTTTCAAAGATTTTCTGTACAAATTTCATTGCTTAGGTCCTAAAATACATCGACACGATTTCATATTTTGTATCAAGTAGGGTGAAACATTTTTTCATTCATCTTTATCTTCTTTTATCCTATGACGACTGTTGGACTGGCGTATTTGCTGTCTCAATTGCGCTGTTTTAAGGCGGGCCATCAACTGAGTGGATTGATACAACCAGCTTCCCTAAAAAATTAAAATGAATTCAGCATCATCGCCAAGTTGATGCAAGTTAGCAAACACATACCACCATCAGCATACAGTTGAGCAATATCGGCACGGAGAATACTATTGATATGAATAAGCCTTTGTCATCAAAATACTGCTGTTTTGAAAAGATCCTCCAATTTACGGCAGCATATTCATTAATGCTTTCGGAAAAATAGACCATTAATACTAAAAAGAAATATTGGATTAGCTTTCCCAAAAAAAAAAACATTACGATTGTTCATTAGGAAATGCTACTTACACAAAACTAAAAATAGGAAGACTTGAAAATTGCCACAATTCCGAGTCAACAATGCAGTCGATGTAATGCAAATATGGAACGCTATTAATCCGATAAGCCAAGGATCGTACCAGTCAATCTGGGGATTGCATACAAGAACAAATGGTTACATCGTTATTAATTCTGTATGTACATAAATTGCTACCCATAACAAAAAAAATGTACAGACGCAAGGCAATAGCTTTTCTCCCTTGACCTTGTCCTAGGTTGGTTTCTGCAGTTGTTGCGTTAATTTCATGAAAATGTTTGTGCACGAAATTACCTGCAGAACTAACATTGCACCACACTAAAATATACTTACGCTCTGCAAGAAAGTAACAAATCCTTTGATTTCGTTTATTTCTATTACATTTGGATCGATCATTTTGGACTAGTACTTTTCAACTTTGTGCTCCCCTGTAGAAACGCACAATGAACCTCTGATCTTATAAAGCTATTATCACTATATCACATTAACTTTTGACAGCGTTTCTTTTCCGTTAAGTTTAATTGCTATAGTTTTACATTAATTAAGTTAGCGAATAAGTTTTTCAGTGAAAAAGATCTCTGTTTACGTTTTCGTTTTGGATTCTAACGATTCTGATTGCAAGAGAAAAACTAAAACGATTTCACATTTTGACAGCTCGATGCGGAGTCCGGAGTGAGCGCTTCGGTGAGAGAGTGACGCGGTTGGTCTCAGTAGAAACACCGCCGTAGTTTACACCGCGATTGTCAACTCACCATTCGAGCACTTTTCGGTGAAAATCAAAATTTAATGTCAGTGGCCGCCAGAGTGACACGACAAACGGACCACATTGTCAAGCAGTATAGAGATTGCTGACGTTTATCGTACGCACACAACGTCATATAGGTATACGTAAAATGTTTTCATCAGGAAAAAAAACTTCATAGCAGAAATTTTTCCCGATGAAAACAAATCAGTGACACAATCACACTTTAGCAATCTCTATTGGCATGACTCTTTATTGCACAAAAGTGGACCAACATATGACTATGAAACGAATAAATTTTGGTTACTTTTCTCGTAATTCTAGAAGAAAAAAATCTAACAATATTGTTTTATCCCGAAGTTCGAGTGGGACACCGAAAGTGGTTTGCTTGTACCTTACCTGATAAAATAAATACTTCTCATTTCGCTTAAAATTTAATCTATTTCACATTAAACTCAGTTTAAGCAACAATCAATACGAAACTAACGATTTTAAATTGGCTCACTACTTGACTAGCCTATTGGTCCCAAGCAAACGATTAACGTATCCCATTCTAGTCGAAATTCTAGTACTACGCAATGTTTGTTTTGATTCGCTATGAAAGTTTGACAGACAAAATGAGGGGTTATTGGTTTTTCCTATGTTTCGAGGGGTGCATCGATTAGCTTGGGACTGAAGATAGTACCAGAGCTGGGCCAAAAAGTTGAGCACGTTGTTTCGGGATCTTCTAATCTTAGAGTTACCTCTATGGTTTAATCATATCGAATGATTAAAAATTGATTATCTCTTGCTAAAAAATAATCATCTGATATTAAACCCAGTTTAATCCTCGGTTTAATCATGGTTAGTTAAATTGAAAGTTATCTTGTTTGAATAAATTTTAATCATTTTTGATTCTATTTTAATCCTTTTTGATTGAATTTTAATCTTTTTTGATTGAATCTTAATCATTTTTGAGTATATATTAATAATCTAAAAGAATAAAATTTAATGCTGAATAGATAATTTTTTTCTCAACAAGTGATTATTTCGTATTTAATCATGCATGACTACTACCTCGACTACTGTGTGGGTGCAAAGAGCGCCCAATGCTTCTCTGTGCAGTGTGCTGAACATTCAGCATTATCGCAGGGACTCGTAGTAAGCCATGATGAGCGTTGCGAGGACAACGAACTGGACACGGCATTTTCCTCTCTCAATCATCAACCACCGTGGAGGTAAGACGTTCAGCGATATCGGGCAGATTCCTTTCCGGCTGATGGTCAGTTATCCACAATGGCGATCCTGCCAGGAGTTGCAACAACCAACCTTTGCTGCAACGTAAAAATCTGAACCTCGATTAGGAGCCGGAAAGGAATCTCCCAAAATTTTCAACGCCGCATAGAAAAAAAAGGTTAGGTTAGATTGAGTCGATTAAAAAAATCACGCTTCGATTTTTTTTTTATGCATAAAACGCAAATCTATTGAGATTGTGCACAAGATGAGCGGATCAGATAGATCGCGCATTGGGGAAGCGGGCATAAAAAGTCGCGCAAGCGGATCAAACCGTCGCGCATTTGAAAAGCGGATCGGAAAGGTCGCGCATTGATGAAATGATTACAGGTCCTTAGCAGCGGATCTTACGATCGCGCACCGGACACATTGTGCATTAACAGAGAGGATTAAAAAAAATCGCGCTGTGGATCTTATGATCACGTGGACCCGAGAGCAGATCCTAGAAATATGACTGAGAGTAACGGCAGGTATGTTCGAGTGGTTGACAAACCAACCGGCTGCGTTGAGGAAGATGTTCAAATCGATAACAAAATCGACTCTGAGATGATTTCTAGTAGCGACAGCAGCACCATCTCAGAAAGTGATGCTAGTGACTACGATACCGACACACACGATGCCAAAAAATCGAACTCGGATGGTACATCTGCTTATTCATCGAGATCGCCATCGGTTAACCCATACCCCTGAAGCAATCCCCACCGAAAACGCAAGCCAGGACACACTGGAACACACCAGTAACGTCAAACGGATCGACCGTATGGAGAAAATACTCGCGGGTATAAATGACGCCCTGAGCCGCTTTCAGTCAAACTCTGGACCGACGATGCCTAGAAATGCTGATAACAGCTGGAACGTCTCTAGCGAAGTAAACGCTTATGCAAGTGTCGGTGGAAGTTCATCCTTCAGCATCCGCTGGGATCACATGAAACCGTTCCCAAGTGGCATCGCCGCCAATAAAATGTGGGAGGAATGGAATCGTTACTTAGCAAACTTCGAGATAGGTGCTTCGCTCGGTAAAGTTAATATTCCAATTAAGAGGACTCAATTACTCTTCCTCTCCATGGGCGACGAACTGCAAGGAATCGTGAAAACCGCAAAGGCGCAAAGCTTCGCCCAAGCTTGACAAACCTGGACTGCTACCGAGTCTTCGTTACGAACATCAAAACCAACCTACGGTCGATGACGGACACGGCAGCAGAGCACGAGGCTTTTTCTAGAAAGAAGCAGGAAAACGGCGGTCGCTTTTCACGCCGGGTTGATGTGTAAAGCACGATCGTGCAACTACAGCGTTGACGACGAGGACAGATTCGTGCGTGCACAGTTATTAAGTGGACTGAGGAACAGAGAACTCGTGAAACAGGGAAGGATCTATAACCATGAAACGAATTTTATGAGTGAAGGGAAGATATGTGTGGGTGCAAAGAGCGCCCAATGCTTCTCTGTGCAGTGTGCTGAACATTCAGCATTATCGCAGGGACTCGTAGTAAGCCATGATGAGCGTTGCGAGGACAACGAACTGGACACGGCATTTTCCTCTCTCAATCATCAACCACCGTGGAGGTAAGACGTTCAGCGATATCGGGCAGATTCCTTTCCGGCTGATGGTCAGTTATCCACAACTACTACCGAAAGTAATCGTGGCTCGAACTCAATAAAGTGAAGCGGGAATTTGCAAACTGTTTAAGCTTTTTTGATTTTATTTATTTTTGAGTTTTCCATAAGCCAGTGCAAGACGAGAATTGTCAACTTTTTCTCATCGATAAGTGGGAGAACGGCCAAATTACTGTTCACAATTAATCATATTGTCGAGCAGTTTTGGAACGACCTTCTGCCAGCGATTTCAAGGAAATGAAACAATAAATTCCAGATTTTTAAAGCATATTACAAATAAGACCGGATTTTCTCTAGGTTGTAGAAAAAAAAATATCATAATATTGTTCCACGTTAAAGTACGAGTGGTAAGAAACGTCATTTCAAACTGCTCGAATGACGTGATCCATATAAAAACGGTATTCTATATTTTTACAACCTCGATTACAACATAAACGATGTGATGGGAAGTTTTTATGAATAACACATAACATTTCTATAGTTTGTCAAGGCAGTATTTGAGACACGTACACTCAAAAAAATTATCACATATCTAATTGATGTAATTTATGTGAATTTCACATAGCTTTCTTGTGATCACATAGCTGCAAATCCCATCACAAAATCACATGAATAATATGTGGTCGATGACATTCATATGAAAAATCATATTAAATTAATGTGATCGCATAAAGGCTATGTGAAATTCAGATGAACTCCATTAATTTTGATTATGGATGAATATCATGTGCGTTTCCAATGAAAGCTACATGAAAACTATTTTCGGTGTAGATAAATGATTTTTAAATTCAAATGGATATATTTTTGGCTCAGGCCCTAATATATTTTTGGTATTGATTCAAATACTAGTTCAAATATATTATTCGGTTAATTCAAAGACAAACATTTTTGGATCAAGAAACCGATTGTAGAGTCAATAATCTGTTTGTTGCTAGGGGAAGTACAACTTGATCTCGAGCTTGATCTGCAGTAATATTTGGTGTAAAAATTGCTCAAATTGGTAATTATTATAATTTTTAGATATTAACTGTCAAGCGGACAGCTTCAAAGTAAAAAAAATAACAGTGTAACTTTAACACATACACTCAATGACGTTTCACCGTTGTTGTTTATGTTTACTGCAGCTTTCATTTTTGCCTAGATTTTTGTTTTCGATAGCTCTGATCGATTTCGACTTCGACTTTTCATGATAAAAACGGTACTGGACGTTCCCCCAGCAGCAAATTTTGCCAGTTGGAGGCTCATGGCAAATCGAGTGTAATACGACCACGGAACCATCACTCTGGGATTCCGTTTACAGGGGAGGCGTAGTCAGTCGGTTCCCGTTCCATAGGAGGACAGCACATTGGTTCGCAGACAATGAAGAATTCGTGGAAATTAATGACTATTTTCTGGGACAGACGTGCGACCGATTATTTGCACTGAGATCAGCTAACAACGTCCCACCCCAGGCTGAACCCGGGAATTGACCACTTTGTCAAGCAGTTTTGGTGTGACTTTCTACCAGCGATTCCACAAAACTGGACCAACTAATTTCTATTTTTTTGTGAAACGCACAAATGTTGGCTACTTTCCTCGCGGTTCTAGAAGAACAAATCTCAAAATAATGTTTTATTTCAAAGTTCGAGTGGTAATAAACGTCATTTTAACTGCTCGAATTAAGTGATTAATTGAGGGAAAAGTACTTAATGTTGGGTAGTTTTTCATCTAAGTGTTCTCTACGGGGGCCAACTTTGATTTATAGTACGTTCAGAATACAGAGTTATAACATAGAGGTAACTCTAAGACCACTGGGTCCCGAAGAAAATCATTATTATTTTTGGCTCACTCAGTACCAGAACAACGGTCCCAAGCAGTCCCAAGCTATTTCACTCACCCCTGCATGTTCTGCATGAATCCACACACCCCTGATGTTATCTGTCAAACTTTCATAGCGAATCAAAACAAACATATACTGTAGTAATAGAATTTCAACTAGAATAGGGTACGTTAATCGTTTGCTTGGGACCAATAGGCTACTAAAGTGGTGAGCCAATTTAAAATCGTTAGTTTCGTATTGATTGTTGGTTATAACATGTTATAGCGCTATCTTGATGGTGGTTTCTGCGTTGCAATTAGTTGACAACCGTTATAACATGTTATAACCATAGAGGTAACTCTAAGACCACTGGGTCCCGAAGAAAATCATTATTATTTTTGGCTCACTCAGTACCAGAACAACGGTCCCAAGCAGTCCCAAGCTATTTCACTCACCCCTGCATGTTCTGCATGAATCCACACACCCCTGATGTTATCTGTCAAACTTTCATAGCGAATCAAAACAAACATATACTGTAGTAATAGAATTTCAACTAGAATAGGGTACGTTAATCGTTTGCTTGGGACCAATAGGCTACTAAAGTGGTGAGCCAATTTAAAATCGTTAGTTTCGTATTGATTGTTGTTATAACTCTCCAGTCTGGACAGTGTTTTACTCGAGGATTTACCAATGGATCATTTCATTCGAGCAGTTTAATATGACGTTTCCTACCACTCGAACTTTAACGTGGAACAATTAACCACTTTATTCGAGCAGTTAAAATGACGTTTACTACCACTCGAACTTTGAAATAAAACATTAAACAACTTTGAAATAAAACATAAAACATCATTTTGAGATTTTTTCTTCTAGGACCACGAGAAAAGTAGCCAACATTTGTGCGTTTCATAAAAAAAATAGAAATTAGTTGGTCCAGTTTTGTGAAATCGCTGGTGCTTGACAAATTGGTCAATATTTTGATATTTTTTCTTCTACAACCTCGAGAAAATAAGGTCTTATTTGTAATATGCTTGAAAAATCTGGAATTTATTGTTTCATTTCCGTAAAATCGCTGGTAGAAGGTCGTCTCAAAACTGCTCGACAATATGATTAATTCAAGACCAACAATTGAAAAGGCCCCAACCCCATTTTATAAACAAACCTTGTAAGGCCATTTTGCCGTGAACTGCAGTCCGCCAACGCAAACCAACAAAATGAACAGGTAGGGGAAATTCTCCTCTACCCGATTGTGTTATAGGTTTGCGAATGTAGGTTTCGGTTCGCGAGAAAATAGCCTTACAAGGTTTGTTTACAAAATGGAGTTGAGGCCTTTTCAATTGTTGGTCTTGAGTTGCTCGAATTATTATATGTGTGTACGAATATTTATAGATATACATTTCAAAAAGTTCTATCTGCTTTGGTCGATTTTCTTTATTGACTTTCTCTTGCGTTAATAACTCAGCTGCAACAACATTAAACAACAAAAAATTTCCAGTTGTGTTTGTCGTTTCGGGCGCTGGATAATGTCTCCTTTATCAAACTATGTGTTGAAAATAGTATACGAAATGCGTTTGAGTCGTGGTTAACAAAAGAGAAAGTCGATAACTGTAGATAGGACCTTTTGAAATGTTCATCTTGATTTGACTTTTGTCGATGAATCACTCGATGGTCGGTCCAGTCGTCAGTGAGCTCTAACTAATGAGTCGTGAGAGTTGAGTTGATGACCGTGAGATGTAAAAGCTTGTGAAAAAGCGAAAAAAGATCAGCCGGTTAACTGCACTAAAACGTCATGAAAAGTATTGACTTATTGTTAAATTTTAATAAATTACTTAGTATTAACCTGAAAGCTTGTGAGTACTTTAAGATTGATTTGATTTAATTTCAACTATTTTCTAAAAGGTAAAGCTGTTACTGTAGTAATCCCGGGTAAGATTATAAAGTTTTGTTTGTCGGAGACGAATGCACTTTTAAGTGATTTAATCAATACTAATCTATAGCCTCATTCCAGTTCGGCGTATCTCTGATAAAGCATAGTATCAGAACAGTGTTTAGCTGAAGAGTAGCGCTATCTCCTGTTCCGGAATAAAAGAAAAAGTGGTTACGTTCTAATCATTGGAAGTAAACTTCCTGTTTAAGAAATCAAACATCGTCGATTTCAACAATGCGACCAGCCATTAAGGTTAGACAAAAGCACATACTAACAAATAATGTAGCAATACAAAAGTGAGTATCCCACCCAAATGTATTTTCATCTTAGATCGGAATCATCGGAGGTTCAGGACTGGATGACAGTCAGATCTTGGAATCCCGTTCGGAGAAGGTGGTCAGTACGCATTTCGGCAATCCATCGGATGTGCTGATTGAAGGGAAGATTGCTGGAGTAGATTGCGTTCTGCTAGCGCGCCATGGAAGGAACCATTCCATTATGCCATCTAATGTCAATTATCGTGCAAACATCTGGGCATTGAAAACTTTAGGTTGCACCCATGTGATTGTATCAACAGCAACCGGATCTCTGAAGGAGAAAATTCAGCCGGGAGATATTGTCATTCCGGACAATTTTATCGACCGCACAACCAAGCGTGCTCAAACGTTCTACGACGGCAATGATATGCTTGTTGGTGTTTGCCATGTACCGATGGAGCCAGCATTTTGCAATAGGACTCGCGACGTGTTGATTGAAGCCGCCAAGGAGCTGGGTATACCTGGAATACACAACAATGGTACCGTCGTAACAATCGAGGGTCCTCGTTTCTCGAGCAAAGCTGAGAGTAACCTGTTCCGCCAGTGGGGTGCCGATTTGGTCAATATGACTCTCCTGCCGGAAGTCGTCCTGGCAAAAGAAGCTGGACTCTGCTATGCTGCCATTGCAATGGCCACCGATTACGATTGCTGGAGAGATTGTGGAGAAAATGTAAATGTGGCTGATGTGTTGGCCACATTCAAAAAGAATGTTACGAAAGTAACTCAATTGATTACGGCAACCATTCCAAAGATCGCTGAAATCGATTGGACGGAAACAATCGATGAGTTGACGAAGACAGTAAACGGAAGCATCATGCTACCTCATTCCAATTGAGAATTTCGATTTATCCAAATATAATCTTGCACTTACGGTGAAAGTACGCCATATATCTTTGTAACTTAGTCGATCGATACTGAATGTAGTACTACGATCTGAACGTCTAATAAACAAGTTTAAATTACAAATTTCTTAGAGCATTTACTAGCCGATCACATCATTGTAACCAACATACTGTCTGCAAAACAAAGCAAAATTTCATCTGGAGGCAGACTGACACAATTTTCTGATTAGGACGTTTCGGATGAAAATGAAATAAATCCATGTAGACTTTAACAGTGCATGTATCTACTTTTTTGGTCTTCATAACTGATCCAGGTGTAGTTTAATCAGCTTCTTTTGTGGCAAATCAACTGAATCTAAAATACCAGTCACCAGACCAGTGGCGACGGTTTTCCCATTCTCTCGTATAGTAAACGTTTGTCCACAAGACATCACCATCTTTCGCAACAGAGTCAAACGAATAGCGCCGTGATCTCCTGGCATGAGCATTTCTTGGCCAACAAGGTCCACTCTACATGGCACGTTCCATGTTTTACTGAATAGCTGCTGTATGTATTTGGAAGTGAGAGGCTTAGATCGTCCACCTTCGTTTTTAGCCAGCAGGTATACAGTTCCGTCGAAATGATTTGAAACTCTTGCGCTTCCAGCTGCACAGAGAAGCATTCCACGTTGAACTGCCGTGATTTTGACATTTCTTAGCAAAGTACCAATATTATCGCCAGCTTTTGCTAGAGCAACGTCTTTTTTGAAGACTTGAACACCTCCAATAGTAGTTTTAACTTGCTCGTCGAATCCCAACAGTTCGGCGTCATCGTTCTTCTTGATTGTCCCCCGGGCTAGGGTTCCAACCACAACTGTCCCTCGTCCAGGAACAGTGAATGCATTATCGATAGGCAGTAGAAAAGGTGAAGTTACATCTCTTGTGGGCGTCGGTACATATCCATCAATTGCTTTCAACAGGCGATTTATTGATGGTTCACCCATCTCTGACTGATCACCCTGAAGTGCCATAAGAGCAGAACCTACGATGACTGGACTGTTGATACCGTCGAAACCGAAATCGCTCAACAGCTCACGTAACTCGATCTCCACCAACTCAATAACCTCTTGATCTACCTGGTCAGCTTTGTTTATAAATACAACAATCTTTTCAACCCCAACTTGTCTTGCAAGCAACAGATGCTCTCTAGTTTGAGGCATCTGTCCATCGGTTGCGGCCACTACGAGTATTGCTCCATCCATTTGAGATGCACCGGAGATCATATTTTTCACATAATCGGCATGTCCTGGGCAGTCTGTGTGAGCATAATGTCGTTTCTCAGTGCTGTAGCCAATGTGTGCGGCATTGATCGTAATTCCACGCGCTTTCTCTTCTGGTGCTCGGTCAATCTGGTCATAGGGTATATAGTTCGCACGACCGTTCCTCGACAGTACCTTGGTAATAGCGGCCGTCAATGTAGTCTTACCATGATCCACATGTCCGATCGTACCAACATTGCAATGCTCGGCGGGTTTGGCTTCCGTAGAAAATTGCCTTCTTCGATAGTGTTGGGATGAATATGCAAGTTGCCTTGAAGTTTTCAAAATCGATTCACTTCCTAAATTCTTAACATGAGCCGTGAAGATACGAACGTTTGATAGTGCACTGAAGATGGATGCCATCTCTAATAAACCGACTGTTTTAAGATTAATACTTGGCTAATTTCCTAATATTTTACATAATAGCAAATCTGTATAACAATAAATAATATTCTGCTTACGAATGAATAACAGTTAGCAGATGAACAAACCGCAACAACAAAAAGTCAATCTGTCAACTCGTGACTGTCGATTGAAGAGTGCTATCAGGGTTGTTCCAAAAATAATTCGGCAAAATCCTGTAAAATCGGTAAAATCACGATGCGCCGAAACTGCACGGTAAGAAAAAAGTTCTTCTACACGGAGAAAAAATACTACCCAAAATTTGAGTTCTTTTTACTTAATTTTGACTTCAGCCTCTCACTTGCACTCGTTATTGTTGTCAAAAAAGGAACAAGAGATTCGACCCAACGATATAGTTCAGCCCAATAAGTTACTTTTGAGTAAATTGCATATTCTCAAATTTGTGAGAATTAAACTTAATTTTGGGTAGAATATACTTAAGAGTAGGTAATTTTTTTTGCTGGTGTTAAATGGAAACTACTATATGCGATTTACTCAAATTTGGGTTATTGGGCTGAACCCCGGAATTGAGGGAAAAGTACTTAATTTTGGGTTGTTTTTCATCTCCGTGTATTCAAATCTGGGTAGATCCACTCAGATTGGTCAGAACTGAACCCGACCAACCGTTCGTGAAACTTCTTCAAAGTTATTTATACAGAAATAAAGATTTATGTCGGCAATTCTTTACTTTAAAATTTCTATGATTGCGATTTTTTTCGACACATTTAAAAATCTTTATTGATCGATACTTACATTTAAGATTATTTCTTCATCGGTCATATGATAGTAATCTATACAGGTACCATACTAAATTTCTTTTAATTTCGACATGGACTGTAGTATTCTGTACAAATATTCATCCATAAATATTTAAATACTGATATCATCGTAACTTTGAACTTTGACAAAGAACAACAAAGATTACCATCGATGCACATTTATAATCTCCTTGTTATCGATTTGCATCGCTGGTTAAAGAGAGTTCAAAACACACCAGGTGACAGATAACAATGTTTATATTATTTATTGACATATTCGACATTTCATCGGAAGAAGCAATCTGCCGGTAAATGAACAAGAAGACCGATGGCCGCCGTGCAGCAAATGTTTACCATTGTAGTTCTTCAAGTTTACGTCTATATATTTAATAACCCGTGATAGCATGCGTGGTGAGATTCTCGGTATTTGGAACCCAATGAGGAAAATTGATACCTTTTTGACCTCTATTACACCTACATGGCTGACTGGTTGATGGTTATGACAAATAAATATTGAATTCATGTATGAAAGATTTACAGAAATTTCAATACACCACATACTTGAGTGTGTTTGCCTGTCGTTGATAAGCTCATCAACAGCAGCCGTGGACCCGAGGATTAGCAACCAACAACGAAATCAGTACACCCCAGATGACATGGGATCGAAACTAGAAATTATGCAGATAAAAAATCACAAATAAAATCAGCAGTTGTGTATCGATATTTTGATTTTACAACAGAAATCGATATTTTGATCAGGCAACACAATCGATATTTTAACATTGGTAACGATTGGTAGCAATATTTTGAGAAAGATATTTATAAACGATTCACGATTAGACCACAGACAAACAGACATAACACATTGAATAATTCTCACTGTAAAACATCGTCGCTAAAACATTACCGCCATCTGTTGAGTACACTGTGGTGGGCACTACACGGAACAGATGGCGGCAGTGTGTAAACGTCAAACGCAAGGGAATTAACTATGCGCGCCACAGGTGGCGGTGCTACCAACAATCAATACGAAACTAACGATTTTAAATTGGCTCACCACTTTAGTAGCCTATTGGTCCCAAGCAAACGATTAACGTACCCTATTCTAGTTGAAATTCTATTACTACACTATGTTTGTTTTGATTCGCTATGAAAGTTTGACAGATAACATCAGGGGTGTGTGGATTCATGCAGAACATGCAGGGGTGAGTGAAATAGCTTGGGACTGCTTGGGACCGTTGTTCTGGTACTGAGTGAGCCAAAAATAATAATGATTTTCTTCGGGACCCAGTGGTCTTAGAGTTACCTCTATGGTGCTACCAACTACGAAACTTTTAAATTGTCCGTTAAATGCTTGTTCGATGAACAACTTGTGAGTGTTATGTCTGTTTGTCTGTGATTAGACTTTTAGCATCTTTACAATTATTCATGAAATGGTGACGATCGCTATCGATTTTCTTATGAATGGCGATGTATGGAAAATTAAAGAAAATTAACGAAATGGTTTTTTCGGGAACCTGTCCAAAATGGGTAAACTATGTTGTGTGTGAAAAGTTGACAAATAAACAACGTCGATTGGATTCATTTCGATGATGTTCATTTGTAAATATACCTACAGCCCAGACAAGCAGACATAAAACTCGCAAGTTGTTCATCGAACAAGCATTCAACGGTCAATTTAAAAGTATTTTAGTTGGTATCGAGATTAGTAGTACCACCACCTTTGTTGCGCATAGTCAATTTCCTTTCGTTTGACGTTTACACACTACTGCCATCTGTTCAGCGTACTGCCCACCACAGTGAACTCAATAGATGGCGATAATGTTTTAGCGACGATGTTTTAAAGTGAGAAATATCTAATGTGTTATGTCTGTTTGTCTGTGCTTACCGCCGAGCATACAGCTAGGCAAATTTACAAGAAACCTTTTATGTGCACACCACATTTTTTTTTAAATTAGACTTTAAAATAAAAAATATGGAACATAAAAATTACTTGGATCCCAGAAATGAAATCATTGTTCTGAAAGAAATGAATTTAATTTGCTTTTGCTAATAAAATTGATGTGTGAGGTTTATAACATTTATTCCCCGGAAGAACATAAAGATTGTGGGTCTAATTCAAATGAAAGTACATATTGATTCAAACAATAATGTTTACGTGTCAAGTACATATATTTTATGTGTGCTAAAAATATATAATAATAATAAAAATACAGGCTCTGGTGGGTTATTTATTACACACTAACTTTAGATTACTGGAGTCAGTAAATTTTTACTGGGTTTTTGAATTGCGGATCGCTCAGTAATCATCACAGCAATAATGTGCTGTACCGAACTGTCCGTAAAGTCAATCTGTCAAAAATAACTGTTCATTCAGTAAATGGTTCGAGTTGCGTTCAGCAATGTTAACTGGGAAGCCCAGTATTTTTTTGTTTATTTTGCTGTAGTTTAACTGACTATACAGTTATTTTGTTCATTCTTGTACCGTTTTACCCAGTTTCACACTCATTTTAGTTTACCGAAGTCAGTAAAATTTTACTGGGTTTTTGAACTGCGGACCACCCAGTTATTAGATCGGTTGCAATTTTGAATACCGAACTTCCACTAGCAGCAAAATGGAAATGAAACGTTAAATAATACTATATCAGTGCTAACATTTGAAAACGGCGCAAAAGCCATTTGTAAACAAATGGTTTGTGGGCCCTTTACTCGCTACCCGAAGAACGCCCACGCAAACCAACAGCATCGTCAGGAAGGGGAAAATTTCCCCTACCCGATGTTGCTGTTGTGTCGCGTGGGTGTACTTCAAGTAGTGAGTAAAGGGCCCACAAACCATTTGTTTACAAATGGCTTTTGTGCCGTTTTCAAATGTTAGCACTGATATGTTCAGTAATGCATATGAATCAACCGATGAGCTCAGTACATATGATCAAAATAATGTTGATTGAATATAATGATTATGATTGCAGCAGCATAAAATTCATCAAACGCTTTCAATATGGCTCATGATCAATAATGTTGTTTCGAAATTCTACAATACTTTTAACTGCATACGGTATCATTTGGCGTACAGAACGAACATCGTCTATTTGAACAAAAACTAATGAGAATACAGAACATCATCTATACATTAGTTACTTACCTGAGTTCGATCAGTTTCCTATGTAAAAGTTACAGTCAACTGTACATAATTACGTGGCAGCACTTTATTTGCCCAAACTATCCAAGCATTGTGTCTTGTGTCAAATTGCACTGTTCGTGATCAGTTATATGCACATCAACATTGATGAGGATTCAGTAAATACTATATAAAACTGTTTCTTCGGTAATATTTTTTACTGAAAATTAGTACAGTTCAGTAAACATACTACTTTACCGTTTAATCCGTAAAAATACTTGCAGTACACAGTATTCTTTTGGCAACTTAACTGATATTCAGTTATTAAATACCGATTGTCGGTTTCAAGTCACGTCTGAACTGATGTTTCAGCTATAATTTTGCTTTACAAACCAGAGTCAGTAAAAATAATTACCGAACACCTAAATCCTGAATGAGTGTGTAGGAATTTTCCTCATCCTGCACGTCCTCTTACTGCACGTGTTCTTCCTGCAGGTCATGATCAATCTAGGTCGGCAAAATGTCCAACAGCCGATTACCTCGGAGTTTATCTTTGCTGATATTTCTGCAAAATATTTGTTTGTTAGCTGAGATCTCAGCACAAATCTACTTTGTTAGCTGAGTCTCGGCAATAGTTTTACTGAATCTCAGTAACATAAATTGCAAAACTACTCACCTGCTGAAATCTCGACAAAAAAATAGTGTGTTGGTCTTATAAGAATGCATAAACAGTATGTGTCACCAAAAATATACGAAGAAAAATACTTCCCAAAATTTGAGTTCTTTTTACTAATTATTGAATTCAGCCTCTCACTTGCACACACGCTGGTTACCATATATGGTAAAATCACGGTTTTCGAAAGATTTCCTTTCTTTTCTCTTGGCAAAAGAGGACTTCTACATCAACTTCAAATGACTTCTAGCCATAAATAAAAATAGCGGCTGTAGTAAATCATTATATCAGTGATTTTGTCAAATTATCTTAACAAAAAATAGTAGAAATTCTCATTACTGGTCATTACTAAACGTATCCCATGACAAGTTAATGCTCACTGCGTATTTATGATAATTTCTTCGATTATATTTTATATTTTATTGCAATACCTTTCGTGGACCTTTCATAGCATCGTAATGTTTGTATACTTTGCTTGATAGGTAGCCGGTTTGACAGTTCATTAGGTAGACTTGGCTTCACTCTTGGCGTGACTCATTATACACCGACTCTTCATTAGGTTTTGCACCGTTGAGGTTAACCTCAATCTGATGACAGTTCAGTGGTACTGTTTACGTGGACTTAGTCGATTTTTTCTTGTGTAGATTTTCTGGAAATTTTTTCAGATTGCAGTGAGATGTAAACCACACTTTTGCAATGTCCACGAGCCACATCCTTTCACCACGTATTTCTTCGACAATTTTCAAGTTAAAGTTCGGAAATTTTAAAACATATTTTTTTCGAAAAAACGACTAAGTGTCTGTAAACAGTACCACTGAACTGTCAAAAACGTTCAGCCGATTAACACTGAGTTCATTTGTGACGTCACGCTGCAGTACCTAATAGTAAAATCTAAAGAGCCTGAATTTACATAAGCATACGTCAGACTGTGCGTGAAACATGGCGGACTTCGTACTATCCTTTCACTCCATCGAAAAATCCCATAAGAAACTGTTAATTTTTTCTGTGCCGTCAACGCCAATTTCCCTCCGTGTAGGTAGGGAGGACTTGAAATTCAACCAATCATAAAATTTAATCTTGTTCTGTGCCAGTGGCGGTGAAAAGAACTCACTTCAGTAACTCAACTCAGATTCATCGTTCGCGAGTTCGAGTTCACGTTCATGAGCCAAGATAGCACGTCATTTGACTTTCATCTGCCGCGAGAAGTGCCTGTCGTTTTCGGAGGTCTCCCGTACAAGTGGTGAAAATTGTAGAAAAAATCAGATAATCTGTTCAGTGGAGTCATCAAAAGTGAGTAGAAGTGCCGTTAATCTATTTTAAAAGTGGAATGTTGGATTATTAGCTGGTTTATGTGTGTGAAAATCGAGTTGAGGGCATCGGCTTGGGCGTTGACGGTGCTAAAGAAGTTATTCAGTGTGGGCATTTTCCGGCGAGTCTAATGTGTTGATTTTAGTGTATTCTTTGTGAATAGTGTGCGCTGAAGATAAAAAATTCTAGAAAATTAACTGTAAATGGTTCGAAATGTGGATAGACATATTTTTGTTAATGCCATATGCATTTAAATTGCGACGCCATTTTGTTTTACATGACTGAAAATTTTTCGGCGTTCAAGCTGTACCTGCTGAGCTCTAGATTCATTTGGATTGTGAAGTGAGAAGTGAACTGAGTGCTGCGAATGAATGACAGGCGTTCATGATCAAAAATAGCGCTTGTGATGTGTGATTGTGTTTGTGATGTTTTGTTATTGAATGGCATGTGAGGGGTATTAGGATGTGATACTGTTAAGCAAATTTTACTGATTAATTTTTCATAAAAAAAAAACAATCTAATTTATAGGTATACATTCGCAAATTAAGTAGTTATTGGTGAAATCGGTGAGTTTTCTCAGGTATATTTTATGCGTATATTTGCAGGTCCATTAGCAGCTCACAAAGACACAGAGGTAATCGATACTTGCGCAGACCAAGCTAAAGCTGGCCATAATTGATGAGGACAGCTGATGAGTAGCAATCGGTCAAGCGATAGAGATCGTATTACTGTGAAGATACGTAACATGAAACGTAGCGCCTCGCGCGACTCTCCACCAAGATCTAAGAGGCGCGGAAGTATTGGCCGTTACGAAGGAAGCTCGGACGAACGCGTAACACCGGACAGGATGAGACGACGTGTTGCAAGATCCCCTAGTCCACGTGGAGCAACCACCCGCTACGCTTCCCCTCACCGGGAAGAGTACACTCGAGGAGGACGTGAGAGTGGAACCGAACGATATTCGTACAAGGTACTGTGCGTAAGTGCTCTGCATCCCAAGGCATCTGACGAATTAATTAAAGAAACATTGTATCGGGAGTACAAGAAATTTGGAGACTTTAGCATTCGCATTTCGCATGATTTAGACGAACGTGTAGCATACGTTTGTTTTCGTACTTCGGAAGATGCCCGGGAGGCGAAGCATGCCAAGTCAAGGGTTGTCTTGTACGACAAAGTGGCACTTGTCGAGCCTGTTTATGAATCGGCCAAATCCGAATCGTATCGTAGACCACGTTCTTCCTCGCCGCAGGATTATGACCGTCACTACTATGCCCGTTCACCTGGAGTTCCACCACCGGATCGTCGTCGTCCTGATCATCACCCGTACGAAGGATATGGACCACCACCCGGTCGTATGCACCATCCGGACTTCCGTCCACCGATGCATCACGAGTACATGCCTCGTGGGCCACCGATGCACCATCATGGACCTCCGCATATGCATCCGGGACCTCCACATCATCACTATATGCCTCGTCCGTATCTTCCACGCCCAAGGGCTCCATTTGAGAAGACCGATAATAAGAAAGATAAGTTCCCCAACTATTTGCATCATGTTCAACCGGAGGATGATCCTCTAGCCACCAGGACATTGTTTGCTGGTAACCTGGAAATCAACATATCCGATGACGAGTTGCGTCGAATTTTCGGGAAGTATGGCCTCGTAGAAGACATCGACATTAAGCGGCCGCCACCAGGCACAGGCAATGCCTTTGCCTTTGTGCGTTATCAAACCTTGGATATGGCTCATCGTGCAAAAGTTGAGCTGTCGGGTCAGTATATAGGCAAGTTCCAATGTAAAATTGGATACGGAAAAGCTACTCCGACCACTAGAATCTGGGTAGGAGGCCTTGGCGCATGGACATCGGTTACTCAATTGGAGCGGGAGTTTGATCGATTTGGAGCGATCAAAAAAATTGAATACAACAAGGGAGATACCCAGTCTTTCATTCTGTACGATTCTATCGATGCCGCTACGGCTGCAGTAAAGGAAATGCGTGGATTCCCATTAGGCGCACCGGACCGTCGCATTCGAATCGATTTTGCTGATAATGGTACGACACCTCCGTTCCCGAAACGAGGTGCAGGTTTCGAGGAAGGCGGTGAATATCGTCGTGCTCCAGATTATGAATATCCGGAAGGCGCACCGCCATATGAAGAGACCGCTAGCTATGGCTATGGAGGCAGACCTTTCCGTGGTCGAGGAGGATTCCGCGGCCGTGGAGGTTTCCGAGGGGGATTCCATCGCGATGGTCCTCCTCATCACGGAGATAATGACGAGTGGCGCCGAGCACCAGCTGATGGTGATTACGAATCTCGCCGTCGTTCCGGATCGCGTGAGCCTGGTATTGATAGATCTCGTTCTCGTTCACCTCGTCGGCGCAGTCCAGCTGATTCTGACTCGGACTCTTCATCTCGTAGAACTGGTATGTTGTCGAACGCACGAACGCTACCAGAAGTTGCACGAAAATCCACAACAGTATGGCAGGGTGCTTTGATCCTGAAGAGCTCACTGTTCCCAGCCAAGTTGCACCTTACGGACGGGGATAATGACATAGTCGACAGTTTGATGAAAGATGAAGAAGGTAAACATCACCTTCGCATTACCCAGCGGCTTCGTCTGGATCAACCCAAGCTGGAGGATGTACAGAAACGTATATCGACTTCTTCGTCCCACGCTATCTTCCTCGGGCTGCCGGGATCGACATCGTCCGTTGCGTCATCGGATGATGCTAGTGTTCAAACACGTCCCTTGCGTAATCTCGTATCGTATTTAAAGCAGAAGGAAGCCGCCGGCGTAATTTCCTTGCTGAATAAGGAAACGGAAGCAACCGGTGTGCTGTATTCATTCCCACCATGTGACTTTTCAACAGAATTGCTGAAACGTACATGCCACAATCTGACCGAGGAAGGGCTGAAGGAAGATCATCTGGTGATCGTGGTGGTTCGAGGAGGAACCGCCTGAGTGGCAGAAGAAGGCACCGTTAGCACATAAGGTAAGACGAAACAAAAATTGCGATCATTTATTGCTGTGCATGCGTAATTAATTCGGATATTGTGCTCAAACTAAACCTCAGTTTCTATTCAGTTTGCTAGTTATTACTTTTGGATTAGATACTAACACTATGTTGGACGTTTGTTTTCTAATGTTATGGCAAACTAAACAAAGTAAGAGGATTCAAGATTGTTTGTTTGGATTTGTATGTTAACGACGGGAATGGCCTCCATAGGATGAAGTAGCAAGAAACCCTTTTACCAACCGGTGGAAACTAACGATTTTAAATTGGCTCACTACTTGACTAGCCTATTCTACCCATAATCGCATATTAGTCCCATCTTTGCTTGATTTCCTATCCATATGGGACTGATATGGGATTATGGGCAGTATTGGTCCCAAGCAAATCGATTAACGTACCCCATTCTAGTCGAAATTCTAGTATTACACTATGTTTGTTTTGATTCACTATGAAAGTTTGACAGATAAAATGAGGGGTTCGTGGATTTTCATGTTTCGAGGGGTGCATCGATTAGCTTGGGCCGATGATTTGTTTTGAATTTATTTGACGTTGCAAAAAGGCTTAGCAAAGGGCCTACCATTTCAGATGACAAGCACAACGGCTTAATAAAAATGGCCTATCCATTGAAAGATTCACAAAAAAGGCTTATTAATTTATGAAATTATATTGTTATCGATTTTCATATATTTTTGAAAGCTTTTCGCATATTTTGGATGTTGTATACTGAGATACAGTTACTATTGTTATTGTGAACAATATAAATGCCTAAAATACTTCAATTTTCTTAAATATGAATTGAATAGTGGCGGTCAAAATTTAAAATTCATTTTCTGGTTTGTTTACGTTTTGGACATAGGCCCATTTCAAATGTTACTCTAGATATCTCGTTTTTTTAAACTTTTTATTCATATAGGGGAAATGGCTCTAATGTTGGCCTATGGATCTAAGATTGGGCCCATCGCTAAAAATCTGATATTTATCAATTTTATCTAGATGAACGCGGCATTGGGACGGTACTAATGGATATTTTTGGTCAATATTGGAAATTTAGTCGATTGCTGAATTTATGTATGGGCCCAAATTAGGGGCATTTAGGCTGACATTACATCCATTTTCCCTATCAGTTTAAATTAACTTATCGGTGGTTCATGTGGTTTAAATTCACTTATCCGCCCTATAGCCATCGGTTAATCGCGTGATCTACCTTCATTGTTATTCATTCATTCATTATCATTGAATGGATAATCAAACAGACCTGTTTTCTGTTGGTTTATTCCATTATTTTATGTATTACTGCATTTTCGAAAAAAAGGTGAATGCTTCGGTCATGGCTGTATGTTACTGTTTTGTGTTCTGTTATGGAATTTGCGAATACTATTTACCTGGGTGATACGAAATATTTTTTTGCTTTTACTGTAAGTTGCTGTAAGAAAATAATATGGTGCAGCTAGTACGGGATAGTGGTGTTAGTATGCGTGTGCGAGCTACCAGTTACGCCAAATCCACGATCAAATGCATTGTTTACGCTGATACGCCCCTTCGAAACAATAATCATTCCTTTATTTAACGTCGGTCTCTGTTCCGCAATCTAGTGCCAATCACCGACGGACATCGATTGCCATCCATTTACGGCAATCGAATGTGCAGGAAGGCAGCTTCCACACCTGCGTATGATATCGCACCCATTCAACACACATGGGCCGGGACCAACGGCTTTACTTCCCTTCCGCGGAAGAAGACGTGTCCAGAGATTTTTATGCCTCAGACAAATCCCATCGACCTCGGCTGAGATTGAACCCAGGCCCATTGGGGTGAGAAAGCAGTCACGCTTACCACTATATCACCGGCTTCAAAAAAGTAATCGATGATATTTTTTTTTTCTGTACAGAATCTTACGGGAACAGACCTACTATTTACCTGGGTGATGCGAAGTGATTTTTTTTTTCAATGTTGGCTGCGCTGAAATAATCAAATCATCGCCATAATTTGGCAGCAAACTGCATTTTGCGTAAAGCCCAATCGTGAATCTTTCATTGTTTGTTTACGTTTGTAAATTCATGAAAGAGAATGGTGAAGCATAATGCACTATTTTCTTTATGAAAACATTTAGAGAAATGCTTGATGCTTTGGAAAAATAAAATGGCTTACGTGTTAACTACATCGCTTCATTTATAGAATGATTTGAGGTGAACTGAAATATTTTTCATATTGATGGACCGCAATACTGTATTCGTTTCTTCATACCGGGAGAGTCAAACATTGGTTTGATTTTGACAGGTGGATTGGTTCGATTTTGGGGTAAACCCTAGGGGCACGCAATAACCTTTAACTCCAACGCAGGCAACGGCTGTAATTAAATTAATTCCATTAACTACTGCACTAATTACATTAATTACACAATGTAGAACATTAACTACTTTTTAACTCCATTAATTACAGTTGAAATTTCGTAATTAACGTACATTTATTACATTTTCAATACTTTTAATTACATTAATTACGGATGGATAATTTTAATTACCGTCAGTACTACAAAACGCATAAATTACTTGAAGTACTTTTGATTGCATTTTAACTTCAACGCACCGGTTCTTTGTATTGCGTGCCCCTCGGGTAAATCTTCGTCGCATCACCCAGCTATTTACAATGATAATGCGCGTTGTGGAGGGGTCAAGTGGCCGTGATTGAAGTTAACTCAAAGCAATATATACTTTAGATAGGGAACTAATCTCGAAATGAAGCATTTAGTAACAGAACAGGCGAGACAGGATTTAATTTGTACGTCAATGTAGAAATTTCGAAGCCCATTTGGCACAGCATTTTTTTTTCAAATGGTCATTTGGTATAATGACCATTTGACTTAATCTCCAAAAAGTAATAAAATAAAATAGTGGCATAATTACACCAAAAATGAATGGCAATTACACCAAATGTAAGGGTGGATTTCTTTCATTTTTGATTTTTTTTTCAACCTGGTAATGACAGTTCTGACTTCTGACAATGAATTGTAGCATATGAATAGGTTTTTCAAGAAATAATTCTAGCCACAGTGGCGAAAAACTTAATTCGAAAATTTAATCAACAATTGGTTCATGTGGTGAAACATTACGAATTCAGTACAACTTAAATGCAAATCTGTAAAAGAATCTTACATTTCCCTGTAGGGTATCATTTGACATATTTTGCAATAATCGTCAAAATATCATTGAAAGAGCGGGAGTACTACGAAAGGCAGAATCACAAAAGGCCGAATCACGAAAGGACCGATTCGGACTTTGTCACTTTCCCGATTCGGGCTTTTGTTAATTTGTTTTTAATAAATTAAATTACATTATTAAAGTAAAGTAACAATAATTGTATGGAAGCTACTTAATAGTCATTCGTTTTAAAAAAAGTCAGCAAGTGAGAACACCTCTATATCTAATTTCATCTTGGCTTCATTTTTTGTAAATGCAAACCATTAAACAGATTGTTTGGATGCGGTTTTCAACAAATTCGGTTTTTGATAAATTTTCGGCCTTTTTGGTTTTCGGCCTTTTTGGTTTTCGGACGTTTGAAAATAAGCGAAGCCAGCTCGGCTTGGGTCAGTAGGTAATTGTAAACTAGTATTTAAGCTATTTTTTTAAAATATACAGAGGAACATTCTAGCACAAAAGTTAGACGAGAGCAATGACGCTGCTTCTGTTTTTTTTTAGAAAAGAAATCCTGTGCTCCAAGCAGGGCGTCACAATATCAGCTTCAATCGACCAAATCGATGCGACGAAGAGACTGTTGGCTTTCTTTTTTTTGTTAAAGTCGAACAGATTCGCAGCATTATAGAACCTCAGTCGGCGTGCACAAACAAATCTAGACCAATAACTGAAATAGGCGGAACAACCAAACGTAAACAATGGCTTTAAACGCAAATTCCTCGAGAATCAAACCACACCCAAGTAATCTAACACCATCATCTGATAGAGCAAACTTCCTTTATCGAATGGCATTGTTAGTTTGCGTGGGAGTGTTTTGATTCTCGAGAATGTTGTGTTTAAAGCCATTGTTTACGTTTGGTTGTTCCGCCTATTTCAATTGTTGGTCTAGAAATGTCCAATCGCTTGTCTCTCTTTCTCCCGTCGCTCTATTGGTCTTTCTAACAAGCTTCGGTGAAACGGATGAGCGAAAGGGCGCTCGGCTTTGATAGTTTTCTCTGTCATGGAACACATCAACAGAGGTTTCATGACGTATATGACGGAAAAATGAAAATATATATATTTAAAGCATTTCTCACGTGAAAACACTTGAAGATTACACGTAATATGTTTAATTTATCTTCCATCCACATATTTATCTAGAAAAAATTAACGAAAACGGGACATAACGCATTTTAAACCAATTAAGTTCTTTAAGGGTATTGAGGTAAATACATATTCGTAATCTGCATTAAAAATGGAACCCAAACCGAAAATTTTAACAATTTGGGTACACTGGAACTATTTTAAATAACTAAGATTACATTTGCAAAAATCACCTTATTAGCGCCCCTCGGTGTCAGTTTGTATGGGAGCGAGCTGTCAGTTTGTTAGTTTAGTGTCAAACAGTGAAGTTGTTATTTTGCTTTAAATCTTAATTTAAAAATCGAGATGAAAGTAAGTGGGCTCGAAAACGAAGCTCTTTCGGATGATGTATAAAAAACAATACATTTTTCAATATTAAAGAACCTAATTGAAAGAGCGGTGATAGAGTGTTCGTGAAAGGGGATTGAAAGCCATAATGAGGTTTCGTTTAACTAGAAAACCGACATTTCTAACATTGAAAGCGTTGAGCAAAGCAGCGACGAGAAGATCCACAGCCAGCCGTTCCTTCTAAGCGTGCTTCTTTTTCATTTTGGTTTCTTGCTGATAGTCTAGCTAGGCGTTATAGAAATGAAGCGTTGAATACGTTTGTATGAGAGAAACAAAACTCGAGTTCATTTTAGAGCTTCGAAAATGAAGAGCCCTGGATCCAAGTGTTGAAAGTTTAAACCAGAACAAATCCTATGATCTAAATAGTGGAAGCTTGAACGAGAACACTGGCTTTCGTTTGTGGTACCTTAGAATTTTTGTGTTTCGGCCTTTTGTGATTCAGCTTTCTGTACGGATCCCATAAAGTTGTAGGTAAAATATTCACAGCTATGTAAGCATATACATATTTCACTACAACTACCAAATTTTATTTAATCTGTTATTTTTTATGAAGTTTTTACATTTCGTTCTAGTAGTTGCACCAACTTTCTTCGTTGGCCTGATAATTAAATCTTGTCTTCACTTGTCTTAAGTGACACTTTTTTGTAACAAAATCCTCCAGTTCGAGGTCAGTTCCTTATCTATTAATTATATATATTAACTAGCTGACCCGTCGAACTTCGTCCCGCCCAAAATTTGATTTTTGTTTTAAACAATTTCGAGCATTCACGATTCCACGCTAAATTGATCTCTTTGAATGGCATATCCGCGATCGATTTTGTTGATATTACTCTTACTTAAATTATTAATTGAATACGCCGTTTCAGAACAATGTCACGGGATTCAACATTTTCACTAACGATTAGGACAGCACTTTCATCAATTGTGGGGGCATTGAATTGACGTTCGTGACTTCCAGTCGGACGTTTATCCGCTCTGATAATGATTTTGTGGTCGTCAGAAGGCATTCTTTCCAATGCCTTCTTGAATAACCGAACCAAAGCGTTGTGTTCGTGAAGAAGTTCTTGCAATTCTCCAATGATCTGACGTTTCATAGCACGATTAATCGCACAGCGTTGATCAATTTCAATTTCACAATTGCCAACAAAATAAATTTGAAGAAATTTGTGTTCTTCATTTGCTGGCGGCAACAATGATCCGGTTCGATGGTGACTTTGCCCTTGAATTTGTATAGTTGAAGGCAAGTTTAAAACGGGTGAGTAAATCCAAGTATTCGCTTATTTGATATTTGATATTAATATTCGCACCGAATGACGTCATTTGAAAGCAACTGTTGTATTTGTGAGCATTTTTTAAGAAAAATGTATTGACTCTGGTAGTTTGACTTTGCCACCTGCGCAACACAATCCTGGCGTTTCCGAATGAATGAATGAATGAATACATAAAAGAGCAGAATGTGTGATACCTACTTTCACTACTGTTCAAATTCTTGGTATCTATGTTTCTATGCAGACTGCAGACATACAGCCAAGGTTGCAAATACTCATTTCAGCTAAAATAATGTTTTTCGAAATAATAAAACCAAAAGATGGTATGATGACATGTTTTACTTTTAACTTACAAGAAGAGGTTACAAAGTATGCGTTTGAAACATAAAACCTGTAAATTTTGCTTTCTATGGGTCACAATCAGCGATTTGCTGATCACTGAGTGAGTGAGTGAGTGAGTGAGTGAGTGTGTGAAAAATCACTGATTGTGACTCTCATGAAGTGAAATAAACAGGTTTAATATGTCAAACACATTCTTTGCAACCTCTTCTTGTATCTTAGCTATTCAAAATATGATCATAGCATCTAATTATTTTATAATAAAAATAAACATTGTTTTAGCTGAAATGAGTATTTGCAACCTTGCATACAGCATGAGATTAAGAGAAGAAGATTAATGAAAAAACTCGTAGAAATGTCCAGTTCATGTTCAGCAAATATTCAGAAGTTTAAAACCATCACTAACTCAAGAGCAAGTTTTCATTATGTCGAAAGTAACATTCGCACTGATCCGAGAAAAATAAAGTTTTGTTTTGATGACCGAAAAGTTATTCCTATTTCCAATTAAACACATACAATCTCATAGTGATAGCAATGTTTAACATATTAAGCATGGTTTTAATAATACAAAGAAGATCGCTAGCTTTCATAGTTAAATAATGTTACTTAAGTCAAAGTGTATTTACCAGGATATTCGGGAGAATTATCAATCACGTCTCCTTACGTGCAGCCCATTCATCACTTTAGGATCACCGAAATCGTCGTTCAATTTATCCACTTTAATAATGAGAAAGCGAAACGACGAACCCACACTTTTCACGGGTTTCTCTGCGCTGTTACTTAATATAAACGGCATCTCCATACAAATCGGGTGACTTAAGTAAACATCGAAAAATCTTTTGATCGGAAGGTGATTACGTCGAAAAGCAATTTGACTGGTAAATAAATTTAAAAATGGGATGTGATCATATATCGATTGACACTGATAGCTCGACTTTGTCTACCGTTGTTACTTTCGACGTAATGGAAATTTGCCCTTGAACTTGTGTCAAAATCTGTTGGACTCACTCTTTGTACTACATACAGTGCTGTTCGATATAATAGCAGCGCATGCCGATTTTCATACAAAATTGACAATTTTGACATGTTGTTCTCTTAAGATCAATTGTTTGAATTTTGAGAAATGTAAAATTTAAGAACTCAAAATTGTGCTGAAATGCAAATTATTAGAATTGCATTTATTTCGAACCATTTATAGTATCTCACTTTCCGGCAGGTGCTTCCAAAAATGTGATATTTTGTAATATTTGTAGTGTGACTAAGGTTTCAACTCAATAGGTTATAAGACATCATGTCAAAGTTACCATTTTGTATGAAAATCGGCATGCGCTGCTGTTATATCGAACAGCACTGTACATGGCCAGGGTATCCAGTGAACCGGGAAAACGGAAAAACAGCCGGGAATTTGAATTAACCGTGGGAACACCGGGAAAAGCCCGTTATATGAAGAAGTCCAAGTTACTTGCAAAAATAGCTCCAGGTGATTGTGAGGAGGATTTCAATACCAATTCTAATTATTCTAATGGGAAACGAAAAGTTGTGTAAGGAACATAGAACACAACATTTATTGTCTCATACGCTTTCTCTCGCTGGTGAGTCAAAGCTGGATTTAAATTAGTTCCTTTAAATCCCATACAAGCAGTGGCGTCCCGTAACCTCACTTTTTACCTGTGCACCAACTTTCAAAACCAGATTTAATGCCATATTCATACTCGGATCGGTTGAAAAATAAACTTAATCTTCTAGTTTACTCGATATCTATTGATATTGATGCACTAGAAGATTTTGGTTAAGGAAACGCCACTGCATACAAGAAAGAACGCTCGGGAAATAACGCTTTGCGAAATTCTTGTGATAATGAACTTCTGGCGATATTTCCAACACGGATTCGGCGGATTTGAAGCTACCAAAAACGAAACAGTTGTTTACAGATGCAAAAAAGTGTTTTTAAATATAGTGCAAAGTTTTTGCAAATCAATAGTAGGATGGAGCACTACTTCGGAATATGGGACCCATTTCCGTCACACGCGTCAAAAACAATGAAGGTAAACAGCTACATCCAGGTTACATGCATCAAATTCTTTGCTCACGAGTTAATTTACGAATGCTGTAAAAAAATGTACAGGCTGGGTGGCAACTACCTGAAAAACTGAAAATCTGAAATTATCAGGAAATTTAAAAATGCCTACACAAACCTGTTGCAAAAAGGTGCTGCACCCTATTTTAATTGTATTTCAATAGTTAGTCAGTTGAAATAAAAGGGATGCATATGGACGAGAATAATTAGCGCATGGAGAACCTTAAATACTTACAAAAACTGTTACGTCCTAATTCCAGCTCTATCTGATTATTTAATGGTTGATTGCCAAACATGAGACGGACGAAAACGTTGTGGATCTCCTGTGCTGCCACGGGAAGGAGAAGGTTAACATAATGCCATGAAGAGATAGCTTTGTTACACCTAATAAATCCATCAGTGACATCTCCCTCCTGACCTTAATCCACCCCTGTGCACCAACGCTCAAAATTCAAATGAACAGTAAAACTAGAAGATTACCTGTTCAAGTATAATATGGCTATGAATCAGGTTTACATACAAGTAAAAAGTGACGTCACGTGATGCCACTGAGCTCCTTAATCTGACAAGTGTTTTAATGCTAATATAGCTAGTTCCATAACCATTGGTATAGGTACGCTCTACACTCACGAGAAGTTACCTAACGGTTAAAATCTTTTAATACCCTAACTATTGAAGGATGCCTTAGTAGAATCCTCTTCAACTGTTCTGTTAATGGTCCATAATAGTTTCACCGCTCTCTGCCTTGCCTACTTGCGCTTATATTTTGTGTACAACCAGTGTAAAGTTCTGCTGTCGCATCAAAGGCTAGACGGAGTTTCCCATGGCGCAGTTTAACTTGCTGTATCTTTTTCTATACCATTGACCGAAAACGCATTTTCGCTTCCAGACATTTAACGGTTACCATTTATCTACCCTGCTTCGGCATGTGCATGCTAGAACCCTCTTCTTTCTACATCTATCTCTTGAATGCTTCTGTAACTGTATTAGTGGTCTGTTGTAGCAATGAGCGCATTATCATCGTTCTCATTTTTCTTAAGAAGAAGTATACCTACATATTCCAAAACTAACGGGTTCAATCCATTGCAGGTGAATAATTATTCTTAAGCTAAACTGTTCACATAACCCAACGCGCGCAAGACCCAATCAATCATCATTAAAACACACTCATTCGATACATCAGTTGCCCCCCTCTGCGCACACTACAAGAACACCATCCAGCGAAGAAAGAAAGAAACTTCCGATCCGACCGTGGTTTGCGACTGAGTGAAAAAGACGAAGACGGAAGAATTGGTGATACCGCAATTGAATCCGAAATATCCGTTTTGTGACCGTGCAACGATGATACTCTCTGGTGGCCCCGTGCGGAAGTGATGATGATGGTGATGATGACGTTGATGATGATGATGATGCTAGTGCGAATTAATATCGGACTTTTGTGTAGCGAATAGGCAACCAACGCAGTGTGAGTGGTTGGCGATTGGAAAAAAAACAGCAGAAAATGATGACGTGCGCGCGCCATTCGAGACACCGAACCGGAGTAGAGATTGTGTGCATCAGATGATGATCAGTGGAAGTGTAACAACTAACGGTTGTTTGTAGTTTTCAGTAGAGAGGAAGATTTATGCTATAAGATGACTTGTAATTCACCGTCGGAAAGAAGAGGCATCTTCCCCGAGCCTCGCTCGAAAATGTATAATTAGTTCATACATTGAGATTTTTGTCACAGAGCATTTTTCTCTGTTATTTTAGCCGTTGATTCATAATTTTTTAGGTCGGGGAAGATGCCTTCATTTCCGGGTTCCCATTACCAGCGAGAGGATGAAAGTGGTAATGACACTGCAAATGACCGAAGAGAAGAAAAAAAAAAAACAAGTATTGATGTTCAAAATTGAATGAAATTGAAAATGTTTTAAAGAAGAAACTGTGACAACTTTAAACATTTCTATTTATGTATCAAAACAGTTTAGTAAAGTAGCAGTAGTGGCAAATGCAGATCTATAGAAACTTATAATGCAATTTGAATACCGTAAAACAAGCTTGAACAGAAACAAAACTTAATAGATTTCTATTATATTCTACTACCCTTTCTTTGTGCAACAAAAGTTATCGTAGCAGAAGATCTTAAACCGTATGTGTTTAGTGTTAAACTTCATATTGAAAACATAAGCATTGAATGAAAATGATAATGGTGTATGCTGCTCTGACTAAAAAAAGGTATCCCAAGTGAATGATGATGTTCAGTTTAGTATTGTTTTGTGATTATATTTCGGTTTTTACTGTCCTTTATGCTTTAACCAGTTTATGAAAGGAATAATTGACGAATAAGAGTTCGGTGTAATCTTCTATGTTTCATGCTGAGAACTATGATAATGGTTTGTGCAGCTAGTGTTTTTAAAACTGGTGGACTTGAAACATCTTGGCACAATTTAAAAGCAATTTGTGCTCTTCAACTTTAATAGCAACCCTTTTTGATCAAGTGGGATAGTGTTTGGCGGTTTATTGAAAGTTTTCCAGTGCCAGTTTGTGACCGTGGTTGAGTATTTTTGTGTTTGTGCTCTAGTTGTGAACAACTCTCCTTCAGAAATCTATTCTCGTGTTTTGTACCACCCATGCCTTCTGGATGTTTGTGAATCAGACCATGTGTATTATGATGATTCATACATACTACCCAATTCCATTTCTGCTGAGTGATTGGTGATTTTTGTGACTATTTCAAGGGATTCTCTTGATCGGACGTGTTTCAGTGTATTGATGATGCTAATGTAAGTTTCTTCTAAAATTTCCCTTCCAGTGATATTGATGTGTGCCAAAACTTCAATTGAGCTTCCTGTTTTGTGAGGAAAGTGTACAACTATAAAGTGGGCTAGTGATGATTGTTGAAATTTAAGTCAGTGTTTACACAGTGTTTTCCTAACACTGATACTGCTGAACTTTTCCCTAATGCGTTGAGAATAGAATGTAGCATTTGTTGTTAAAATTCTGATTTTAATATTGGTTTTACAAATGTTACTTTGTATTGTAAAGCGCAGCATCACGAATGGCAGGTGGATGCTACCAGTTTGATCACCAGTAATGAAAGTGAGATTTTACTAAAGAAAATGGAAGAGTTTTTGTTCTATTGAGTTCAGTTTTGTTCTGTTTGATTTCCAATGGGAAGAAGTTGAAAATTGTGACAGTGAAATTTGGTTGAATCAAAAATAAATTGAACTGAAAGTCGGTTGATTCGTACAGCTGGCAGCTAAACGATTAGGACTTACGGAAATAAATATTCGGAATGTAACAGTAGTTATTCATGAAAGCAAAATGTACTAGATCCTGAAATAAATAAAACAGTGTGCTTCGCATTAATCAGAGTAGTTTTCATTTCGTGGAGTGTGAGAAATCAGTGCTTCTATTGTCTTGGACGACTAGTGCGGGAGTTTTCATTTTAATACATAGTCTTCTTCGAGTGAATTGGAGCTGGGCTTCGTTTGGGGGCTTTTGAAGTTATCGTGATGAAGAACTCCGAAAGTCATGCAGTGGTGGTTGAAAAGCAGAGGTGACACTTGGAGTGTGTTTGTCTTTTTTCTAATAAATGTTATCATTTGCCAAGTGAAATTAACAATCTTTCAAATCCGAAATGCCCTTGTAGACCAGTAAGCACAAATACAGGGGATGGGAATAACAAGGGGAAACTATGTGGTACCAACTAGTTTCCGTGGATGCTTTTGAGTTTTAATCACTAGCAATGAGCATGTGAAGTGAATGAGCAGCGCAGAGAGTCCGCTCTACCATCGTCATTGATATTGAACGGCGAAGTAGCTTCTATCTCTCAGGAGGTCTGCCGCTTGTTCTCTTAAAAGTTTGACAAGCAATGTAGTACCTCTCTCCGGTCAAGCTCTGGGTGTAATTGATGTCAACGTCACTGCCGCACTCAAACTCAAGTCGTCTTTCGACCCAGGACCGGATGGTGTTCAGCCAGCTTACTGATACCGTTGCATCATCTGTTTCGAATGTCCGTCTCGAGTGGTGTGCTTCCATCTAGTTGGGAATTCGCACATATGTTTCCTGTATACAAAAAGGGAAGCAAACGGGACGTGGATAATTATCGTGGAATCACATCGTTGTGCGCATTTCGAAGTTATTCGAGCTAGTCATCATGGAGCCTCTGTTCTCACATTGTAAACAGTATCAAAGTGGTGATCAATACGGCTTCTCTTCCGGTTGTTCTACAACCACTAATCTGCTGTGTCTTACATCGTATGCCACGGAAAGCATGATTGAAACGGCTCAAACAGACGTCATTTACACTAGAGTCGGTATGAGTCACGCCAAGAGAAAAACAGTTGAACTCGCATCACGGTTTCCGTAGGATTCCATTTCTTTTCACTTGGCAACAGAGAACTTCTACATCAACTTTAAATGACTTCTAGCGAGAACCAAAAATAACGGCTGTAGTGAATCATAATATCAGTGATTTTGTCAAATTATCTTATCAAAAAATAGTAGAAATTCTCATTACTGATCAAAACCAAACGTATCCCATGACCATTTAATGCTCGCTGCGTGTTTATGATGATTTCTTCAATTTTATTTTATATTTCATTGCAATACCTTTCGTAGACCTTTCATAGCATCGTAATGTTTATTTACTTTGCACGATAGGTAGCCGATTTGACAGTTCAATAGGTAGACTTGGCTTCACTCTTGGCGTGACTCATTATACACCGACTCTAATTTACACCATCATCATGCCATCACAATCGTCAAGATGCATAGACTTGGGGTTTCCGGAAACGTTGCCGTGGCCATTGGTGACTGTAGGTCTTAAGGTCTGTTACATATCTAGCCACGTCAGGAATACCTCAAGGAAGTCATCTGGGACCGATGATCTTCTTACTCTACTTAAACGACGTGAATTTGGTTATCGATGGTCCACGACGGTCTTAAAATCTACTTGAGGATTCGCTCGATTGATGACTGTCCCTGCCTTCAACGTCAGTTTGAAGCCTTTGCCAGCTGGTACAATTTGAACCGAATGACGTGACGGTTAACCCTACGAAGTGTTCAGTGATATTTGACTATGCTCTTCGGGGCACAACAATCGGACGTGTGAGCCATGTAAAAGATCTAGGAGTCATTCTGGCTTCATTGGGCATTGGGCTTCATCTTCAGGATTGCAAAAATGTCTCCGATATCTATTGCCTCAAGTCATGATCCATTTTGGAACATTGTTCTGTGGTTTGGAGTTCAAACTACAACAATGGTGCTAAGAGAGTTGAGTCCGTTCAATGCCGTTTTCTTCGATTCGTTCTGGGGAAGCTACCTTGGAGATACCCGTTTAATTTGCCCAGTAATGAAAGTGGAGCAAGTTAACATTAACGTCCAATGCCGAGCGGATGATGTGCTAGAGGGGGGTCATGGCTCTAGCTGGCAAGACATAAACCATAAACCATCACTGATGATCAGTGGTATGGGAGATCAATAAAAGGTTCAAAAGGTTTACATTTAAAAATTCCGGGTGGCTAAACATGTGCCTACACAGAATTTTTTAACCGAGTGTTTACAGTTTATAGCTTTGACAAGAGATTTATTTCGTGGAACTTCGTAGATAGTTGGGAAACATTTTTAATGTTTAGAGAATGTTATTAAACCTCAGAAATTTCATAGCACCCTAGTAAACTTTTTAGAGCTTCAGGAACTGCGTAGAAGTTCTGGAGATTTTCTAGAAGTCCTTCACATTTTATAGGAGTTCATATATTATTGTACAAGCTCAGTGAACTTCATGGAAATCCAGTGAATTTCGTAAAATTTCAGTGAACTTCGTAGAAATGCACATTATCATTATTGATGAAGTTCAAACTTGAAATTTGTAGAAATGTGGGGACGCTCGTTAAAGTGTTGGCATTGAGTTTCTTTAAACTTTAGTGGCTTTGGAGATGTTCAAGTGAAATCGTAGAAATGCTTGGAATCTAATATAAATTCAAAACTCTATCAAAATTCCGGGACGTTTTTTTTGTCTTTAACATTTCATAAAAAAATTAGAATAGTTTAGGGAATTGCATATAATTTCAATTTATTTTATAGAATTTCGGATCAGAAAATAATCGAAATTCTTAAAACTTCAGAAAGTTTAATAGCATTGCAGTGAATTTATAGTAGTTCAGCGATTTTTGTGCAAGTTGAGCGAATTATACAGGAAATCGAGAATCTTCGCTGAAGTTCTTTGAAGAGCAAGGAATTATGTAGAAGTTCAAAGAACGTCATAGAAGCTCGGCTAGATTTTCGAAATTTTCGTGCATTTCAAGGAGTTTTGTAGATGGGAATATTGTAGAAATTCAGCATGATGTTCTGAGATCTTGGTCGAAATTCCGGGAACAGTGAATGAAACGTAGGAAGTTAAGTAATCTTGGTAAAAAATTAGTTGTAGTTTATGTAAGCAAAACAAATCGTATAAGTTCAGAAATCTACATTGAAGTGGAGTAGAACTTTTCACACATTTAGGAAATTTCATAGAAGCTCAGGAATGAGTTAAATGGATTGGTAAGAAGTTCAGGGAGAGACAGAGAGATAATGATTAGTAATTTCTATTTAATTCCACTACCTTATTTGCTTATACTTGACAAATACGCGAATTTCGTCTACAGTGTGCAGACTTCTTCAGTATCTTGTACTGATACTCCACTATTGGTACAAGACACTGAAGAATTCTGCACATTGTAGACGAAACATGCGTATCTGTCAAGGATAAACTAATAAGCTAGTGAAATTAAATGGAAATTACTAATCCTTCTTTCTCTCTCTTTATATAGGTATTCCACTAAGACGCGCACATTCATCAGGATTCAAGTTCAGGGAGCTTTATTTGAGTTCATGGGAATTAATTAAAGAAATTATGTGCAAAGCAGGAACTTTCGTATAAGTTTTATAGAACTTAATTGGTATCCATGGATTTTAAATATGATTGCAATAAAGTTCTCTGAATGTTTTTCAAAGTCTTGAAACATGAAAAGGTTTATGCAGTAAGAACAAGATAAGAAACACTTCTTAATAGAATTTCACATGTTTTCAAAATTAAGACATACCTTCAAAACGAATGAAGAGATTGAACCTTTATATGAGACGATGATGCTGGAGAAAAAAAAAACAAATATGAATATCTCTAAACGGTGGTTTTGGATAGCTGATTTCGTGTTGGGGTCATATACCAACACCAACCCCTTGGGATCGAATCGGTTAAAGAAGCAATGAAGTCTGATAAATGCTGACCAGTCCAAAATTTGTACAAACATAGGTATAATAGTCGAAAAAAAGCATACGTTGTACAGAAGAGGGAAGCTAAGGTGGTTATTTTAGCCAATGTATTTTCCCTTGTTGAAAAATAGCTCCAATACATAAAAAATTGAGGAAATATTTCAGACTTCAATTTATTATATGCGCGACAATATGAGAAGACTATGAATGATGAATATTTGTCTTGCGTTTGTCTAGCTAGGTATCTAAAAAGAATAGGTTAGTTTGCAAGCGCTTCTAAATAACAAAGAAAAATTACGAGGTTGAAAACGTGTTCGAAGCGGCGCGGGTTGTGGGAAGTTAAGCCGTTGGTCCATGAGTTGATGGGTCAATAGGTAGAGGGTTCAGGTGTGGGAGCTGTCTCCATGGCGTTGGTAGAATTGAATACTCAGAATACTCAGTACGGATAAAAAGATCGACAAAAAACAAATCAAAGAAAAAAAAAACGTGTTCGAATCAAGGTTGCAAAGACTCATTTCAGCTAAAATAATGTTTTTCGGAATAATAAAACCAAAAGATGGTATGATGGCATGTTTTACTTGTAACTTACAAGAAGAGGTTACAAAGTATGCGTTGGAAACATAAAACCTGTAAATTTTGCTTTCTATGAGTCACAATCAGCGATTTGCTGATCGCTGAGTGAGTGAGTGAGTGAGTGAGTGAGTGAGTGAGTGAGTTTGTGAAAAATCGCTGATTGTGACTCTCATGAAGTGAAATAAACAGGTTTGATATGTCAAACACATTCTTTGCAACCTCTTCTTGTATCCTACCAATTCAAAATTTGATCATGGCATCTAATTATTTCATAATTTAGAAAAACATTGTTTTAGCTGAAATGAGTCTTTGCAACCTTGGTTCGAATTAGGAATTACATAAGAAATCTTAGATTACGATTCATGAAACATTTCCAGAGCTCATTTGCAATTTATATTCATTAGAATAACTTGCCAATTGTTGCACACTTCACATTGTTTACTGTGCTGCAGCCGTAAAGTTATCCAATCATGGCGACATGCTAATCAGTGATCAATAGGGTGTTTCATTTTGAAAAAAGTGATGAATTTTTGATAGGCCAC